TTTTAGATTTTCGGAAGTGATGGGTCAATTTTTAGCAGGATATTTCTCTTTTAGGTCAGGTGATTTTTCAGTTTCTATAAACTGCAATCCGAGTTGGATTTTTTAAGAAGTAACTGAACGAAAAATATTACAAATTCTAAAATCTTTGCGCGTCATCAGGGGTCAACTTTCAGGCTCTATTGTATAATGAGTCTGATCAAAGTGTGCAGCCGATTGTAAAACAGATCCGGACAATGTGTGCAGGTGGCGGCACGGCTTCCCGCCAGCGGGAAAGAAAACCGCACAGGTGATCCAATAGATCAGTATACACGTATATGTACGTGTAATGTCTTCAGCAGACGAATAACAGTAAGGGAAGAGAAAGATTTGTAGGACCAACTCTGTGAAAAGTAAATGGACGAGTGGGCCTACACAGCCCACGTCGGGTACCATAGACTAACAAAGCTAAATGCGGAGCGAATTTGTCATCGCTAAACATTTGCAACGAAATTCGATTAGGCTAGGTAACAGTGAAGATCTAATGCTTACGCGTCAAGCACGATTCAGCCTTTAGTGTACAATATTAAAAGAATGAGGCTTCATCTTGAGCCTCCCCATAAAACTTTCCAAGTCACACTCCTTCCTGAATAGTCTCTGAAATTCATGGACATTAGTTTGGTCAAGTCAGCGACTAGAAGAAAGTTATTCAGATCATGCCACGTATCCTCATTGCGCTGGAAACAAATTTAAGCCCGTTTCTTTCTGTGTACTAACTATCAGCCGCATTTAAACAGCAGGAGACCATCACGGCATCCCCACTAATTAACGTACTGGCTATGAATTGACAAAGAATGACGGATGCTTCTCAACAAGTGTTGTGGTCTCCTTGCATTGACAGAAGTGCGTGATTTCTCCACAGACTTGTGCGTAAGTAACTGATTGTTCCCACGAAGTTCAAGTCAATTTCTGCCTTTTCGGAAGTGATGTGTTTAATTGATGTTCGTGATTAATCATTCTAGATTCAGGTTTAAGGGAAGTTGCTTAGAAGGCTGATATAATCTGTCCAACCCTATCAAAGACAAAACAGGATGGGAGTTCATATCACTACATTGACTCTATCAGGATGTGACAGCAAGGATTTGACTGGAGGCAACCCTTAATAGTTGAATATACAAAATAATTGATTTGTAAAAGGTGTATAAAGTATATTATTAAAAATTCATGAACAATTTATTCAAAAGAAATGCTAAAAAAATCAATTTTCATGTATTAAACATGAATACATCACAGAGGGCACTTTATAAAGTGCCCTCTGTTATCGTCTCCGAGGGAAAAGAAAAACAACTTTAGAAACCCTTGACCCTGTTACATAATTTTTTATAACCTTACAGGCCCTTGTAACTGGCCCAAGCCAAACTGCTTAACCACTAATCAATAGAATAAAAAAGGGAGATAAAAAGTACAATTTATGCTTAAGAGTATTCGCCCTTGAATATCTTCACATTAACAGTATGATTAATTTCTGACAAAAGCTAGAGCGTCATTCCATAATTTAGCACCACTGAAACTTTAGGAATTGGTCCCATCTTATGGTGTAAGCTGAAATTTTCCACTGACACAGCGTGAGTGTGCGTGGCCTCAAGCGGAGGAAGATAATTATGAAAAAGACTTACGAGACACAAACCAAAAGAACTGCATCAAATAAGAGGCTGGAAAAGAGTATGGCTCTGACTGCCCCGTTTTGAAGGTTCTGAATTTGCTCAAGTTGTGTACCGTCTAAAGCCAAACGACGGAATAATCAAATAGGCCTAGTGAAGTCAGAATGATCAATCTTGGAATAAAATAGTGCATCAGTGATAGTTGAAGACTTTAGTGGTCAAAGTACTACTGGCATAATCTGAACAAAATTTCTTGGCTAAACCTTAGAGGTTTAGCAAAACCTGTCAGTTTGCACGCAAGTGCAAATTAAATTAAATTATTCTTGGGACAAATTTCGTATTCTCGGGACAAATTTCGTCTTCTGCGCAGACAATCTAAATCTCTTATCGAACAGAGGCATGCTGAGTTTCTTGTCGATGTTAGAACATCCTTAAAAGATAATCCTAAGCGTTTTTGGTCTTTTTATATACGCAAAATCCCTCATTCAGTTAGTTACAATGATAGCACCACCACTGTTCCAGCTGAACAAGCCTGTCTCTTTAACAAATATTTTCACAGTGTATTTGGAGACAAAGCTACCAATAACCTTGATTCTTCCCTGCATGCTTAAGACACTTCAGGCAACATATGCTCTGTTAATTGTCGTTCCACAGATTTTTCGAAGTCCCGAGTTCAGTAGATCCAGGCAAGGGAAGTGGTCCGGACAGTATTCCTGGCAAATTGTTACTTGAGTGTGCACATGAGCTTGCACCTTCACTCACTGCAATTTTCAATACCTCTTTTATGCAAAGCAATGTTCCCCCTGACTGGAAACCTGCAAACGTCACTCCAGTGTTTAAAAAGGGGGATAAGAGCCGTGCTGAAAACTACCGTCGTATATCCTTGCTAAGCCTGGTCTCCAGAGTCTTCGAACGGTGCATTCATAAGCAACTTGTACCCTTTCTACAGCCATTCATATCTGACTGCCAACATGGATTCATGCCTGATCGTTCCTGCGTTACACAACTAGTTGAATTCACCCACAATCTTGGTTATAAATTATGACAGAGGCTGTGACACTGATGTATAATTCCTGGATTTCTCAAAGGCTTTTGACTCCGTCAATCACTCTAAGCTTATTGAGAGGCTCAGGTGTGCAGGCATCGGTGGCACATTCCTTGCCTGGTTCCATAATTACCTGCAGGGCAGATTGCAGAGAGTTGTCATCAATGGTGCTCACTCGAACTGGTTACCAGTCACCTCGTGTCCCACAGGGTTCCATTCTAGGACCACTGCTTTTTTGTTGTTTTTTATTAATGACATGCCCTCCTGTGTTTCACCGGATACCCCTATTGCGCTCTTTGCTGATGACGTAAAATATTACCGGGTGCTATATCGACCAATGATGATCAACTGGCTCTGCAAAATGATCTTAATGCCCTTTTTAGCTGGAGCAAAACTTGGGCCATTGACTTCAATGCCAAAAAATGTGCTGTGTTATCTGTCAATGCCCGCAAACACCATCATGTTGCCACTTTTGAATACAAACTTGGCAACTATAGTTTACGCTCTGTCGACAGTATGAATGATCTAGGTATTATGATGACCAACAATTTGAGCTGGAAGTTGCACATCAGCAAAATAGTTTGCAAAGCTAACCGCATCCCAGGTATGATCCGCTACACTTGTTATGATGTCCACGACTCTGTTACTCGTAAAATGCTTTACTTAGCACATGTAAGACCTATTTTGGAATACGGATCCGAAATTTGGAATCCTAATGCTAAAGGTCTTATCAGCTCCATTGAAAGAGTCCAGAGACGTGCCACAAAATTTATCCTGGAAGTTCTGCCCCATATGAGGAGCATTTGAAAGAACTGGGCCTCCTCAGCCCAGAAGATCGTCGCAAACTCAAGGACGCAACGTTCTCTTTTTTAAGGGCATGAAAAATAGGACTCATATTTCAATCAATGATAAGGTCAGTTTTACTGACTTTCACAACTTGAGATCTTCTGCTTCTCCCACCCTCATCCCCAACAAATGTAAAACTGGTATTTTTAGACAAACATTTTACCTGGAATGAAATTCCATCCGACCTCAGAAACATGCAAGTTTTTACTCAATTTAAGTCCTGCCTCCTTGACAATGACTTCTTTGTCTATGTTTAAACGTTATGGTCATCATATGTGAATGATTAGGGACATGCAATGTGGGGGCAGAGTTACTATTACTATATTTTGATCATCTGTGCAATATGCAGTCGCTTTATAATTTGTAACTTTTAATTTTTTGCGTTTTAATGACTTTTATGTATTCGGTTCGTAGATATGTTGTTGTGTGTACAAACGTCCCCAGTTAGTGGGCCTCTTTGCCTGTTCGGGGTTTCCCTTTTGCACCACAGGTTGGTTTCGATGTTTTGTGCAATAAAGGTACGGTTCGGTAACGTACAGAACGGTAAGGAACGGAACGGAACGGTACGGTACGGTACGAAACTGAACTGAACTGAACTAATCTAAACTCAACTCAACTCAGCTCAACTAATCATGTTTATCCGCATTTCTCGTTTTGGAGAATAAAAAAAAATTAACCCATGCCTTATTCCCGCTTACATTATTTTGCACATTTTCTTAGTAGGCCTACACTGTATTTTCAGCATGGGCGTAAATCTCAGGGGTGGGGGTGGTTTTTTTTAATCCCCCACTTTCTTTTGGAGGGAGGTCATTGAATCATCCCCCACTTTTTGTGATTATCAAAAATTATAGCCGATTGTAAAGATTTTTAAAGTTGTCCCAACGACTAAATGTTGGCAATATCACGAAAACGGAAAAACAATTTTATAAAGCCGTAAACATGGCATTCTGATGTAAGATTCTTCACGAATTTGATGCACATTACATACACATTACAGATGTACATCTTTATCATAAACATCGCCCCCTACAGTGACACGCCCCCCCCCCGCTTTTCAAACTTCCATGACTGGCCTGGGCAAGTCATCCCCCTACCTTTCTCATGGAGGTAGGAAAACATTTCCCACCCCACCCCTCAAGTTTCAGCTCAAATTTACGCCACTGATTTTCTGCATCTGCACTCAGCGTCATCATAATTCTACACACAAAAACCAAACACACCCGAAAAATAAACAGTTATATAAAGACTTTGGGTCAGGGTGGATTTAAAAAACATAAGCGAAACCTGCGACAGTCAGACAAAAAAAAAAAAAAACCAAAAAAAACCCCGCAAGAATCAGAGGCTGCATCCGAATCTCTTGTTTAAAGTCAGGTCTAGGTCTTCGCTCCATTGGAAATGTGTGGAGACGCAGTCAATAGACCTAGCCGTGTCTCTGAAAGCCCGTTTCGGCCCGGACAGGGCCAGAGATTCTGACCACGCGCGTGGAACCACGTGGCCCTTGCTTTACGCCCTCAAGTGACAATAAAAGAAATCCGGAAATGACGGTACTGATCATGTCATGTGTGTCGCAACGCGTACTACTTCAGCACGCGTTGGCCTAGCCTGCATGCTGTGTAACTCGTGCTAGGCAAGAGATTTCCTCTATGCTCGTGTACACTGTTGTGCCATGACTGTGTCGTATGTTGTTCAGGCTGGTTCCCATAGTTTCTGGCATTTATTTACATAACTTTACTGCGGAAACCAGTTCATGGTGAGTACATTTCAATTGCCCTGAAGCCATTTTGAGACATTGAGGACTGGATTTGAATCTAGGATAGGTTACTAAAAACGGGGATTGTGTATTGGGGACCGTATCCCCTCATGCCCCTTGCTACATGTCCTATAAACTACAGGGTGTTCCTTACTTTTATATAAAAAAACGAAGTCTGCTTTCACAAAACGACTCTTTTACATACGATGTAGATAAGTTAGCTGTGATGCCCTGTTAGTCATATTCAAATCAGGTTTATTATTAACACCACAGAAGAAGAAGTCCAAGCACCTACATGTATACTCTTCAGTGTACATATCAGTCAGAAAATAACTATTAAAAACATAAAGTTAAATTAATTTAAGAAGCAAATCATTGACGGAATTGGTGAAGTTTCGTATGTTGTGTGTGTGTTGTGAAAAATATGATAAGTTACGCTGAGGTACGTGGCAAGTAAGGATTTTGCAAACTTTAAGACGATTTGTTCTCTACGCTGACGTAATGAATCAAGTTTAAAAAACACCAATAATTCACAGTATGACAAAGTGGTTGGAGAAGCAATTATACTTAGAGCACATTTCTGCACTCTGTCAATGCTTTGGTCCATGTACTGTAGCATTCGTGATCCCTGAAGTCCATGTGACGACTCCAATTTCCAAAAGAGGACGAATGTATAATTTGTAAATCGTCAATAAGTAAGACACTGTCACCTGATTCTTCCTCAACTTACTCAAACTGTACAACCTACTGGTACATTAAGCATTTTTAATAATGTACATGTATGTAGTTAACATGTAGATCCCACTTGAGATCATTTTGTACGTTAAGACCAAGAAGTTTCAAAGAAGGTACAATACCAAATTGCTTGCCAAAACTTGTAAATTAACAGGAGTTGGCAGACGAATTTAATTTCAAATCGTTTGTATTATACCAATCCACCAAGGCATTCATGTCAGACCATAAATGTAAGTGGCTGCCAGGGGAACAACCTCAAACACACTGAGATCATCAACATACACTGTACATGTACTTCCATTAAAATTGAGTATTTAGAGCAGCTTCATTAATCGTGGCCAGAAAAAGAATTGGCCCGAACTTAGTACTCGGTGGAACCCCACAAGTTAAGTTCACGGTGGAGACACACCCCAATATTTAACACTTTGAGTACGATCAACAAGAAATGAGTTTTTTAGCTACTTTAGTGTTGTTAATATGGTCAAAGGCCTTGCTAAAATCAAATGTACACAAATTTACAGAGACACCACCTTTATCAATATTCCTATGTATTACATCAAGCATATCAATGAGATAATGCGTGACAGAACTATTCTTCACGTTGCCATACTGTTGAGGATCAATGTTACATCTGATATTACTCATAATCCAATCTGCTAAAAACCGCGGACGTATATAAAAAACCTAGACTTGCAACGCCTTTGTATGAAAAAGAAGCCAACCAGCGGCCATTTTACCGAGCTGAATACAAAAGCGTGGGTTGACTCCCTTCTATTGACGTCAGGAAGAACAAAGGCGGGCATTGCCAGGAAAGCTTTGTATTCGGCTTGGTAAAATGGCCGTGAATGGATTCAATGATCTCTATAAGCTGCTTAAGGGCATTGCGAGTCCAGATTTTATTATAAACGTCCATGCTAAAAAACCCTAAAAAATTCTTGCCATTATTTGTGTTATAGTTACAGGTCTTAATTTATCCAAACTGTTGGCACCAGTTACCTTCAGTACAGGACAGATGGAGGCATTTTTCCAGACCGTTGGAAAATGACCAAATTTAAGACAACTGTTAAAAATATATGTTAATGGTTCAGAAATTTCATTTGCGAACTCTTTCAATTAACGAATTGGAACATCATTCAGATGAGTTGTCTTAGAGGTATTCAAGTGGATCGATAAATTTTCGGTGGCCGGGAAGGCGCAAGTACATGTACCGGTAAGTATGCTGTCAGTTGATAAATGTTAAGTGGTGGAAGACTTTAAAAAGTACATTGCAGCAAAATATCTGTTCAAGCCATTGGCAACAACCAGATCCGAGTTTCATCAGCAAATGAAAGAGAAATTTGTGTTTTTTTTAAACCAGCCAAATGTTGAAGTTGTCTGTGCCACTTTCCTGGCTTAGTATATTTTAAATGATCAATTTGTTTTCTCGCAAAAATTTCTTTTGGCCGACCTTATCATTCTCTACACATTGTTTCGTAGTGATCTGTAATGCATATTAGTAATTACAGATCACTATGAAACAAGGTGTAGAGAATGATAAGGTCGGCCAAAAGAAATTTTTATACTGTGATGCAACATCACGCCGCACACTTACTCTGCGTATTCCATCATTAAACCATGGTTTATCATCCGGTTTACGCTTAACACTGACCAATTCAAAACACCAGTTAAAAATTAACACCAATTATTTCATGCAATTTTTCACCATGCTATTTGAATCATTAACAGAATACAAATCCAACCAATACAAATCAAACTAGTCCATTTTTGTTAACCATATCAGAAAGATTGGTTTGAGAAAAGTCCAGGGCTTTGATTTATGTGGGAAATTATATAGTAAATACGGTAAACGGCAGCATATCATATGTAGGTGATCTGCTGATACTTCTAGAACTATAAGGTGTATAAACCTTACAGTTCTGGAAGTAACCTGTACACAAAGATGAATTAGCAAATTCGATCTGGTTCCCTGACCTGGATCAATATGTTTAGTTAATCTTAATGAATCTTAATCACAATGGCTGGGTTTGGTAACCAGAGTAACAGTGGATCGTCAGCTGATTTGACATGGTTCTTGTTTGCCAAACGCGGGTAAGAAATATTTTGTTTGAACTTAAATATTGTTGAATTTACCAGAACAAGATCTGTTAGGATTAGGAATGGATGCTCAAAGTAAACATATCAGTTATTTTGTAACAGTGGACTTTGTTTCTTTATTGGAATGTTGTTAATAGTACATGTAGTAAGGAACACCCTAAATCAAATTTAAGCTTACAGACTGTTCTACGTGTAAGTAGGTGAAAGCGACATTATTTCGCTGAACTACAGGGTTAAGTTTGTTACATTTCTTATGCTTGTCATTTGATTTGGTAAATTTTGTCTAATGTACTATAATTTAAGAGAATATTTGTCATGTACAATATTTTCTCAATCTGTGTAATACATACACAAAAATGTGTTTCTAATCAGGATTTTTTTTTGGGGGGGGGACATTTTATTCGGAAATCAAATAATTGGTTTTTAATTTTTTTTCAAAATTTTCATCTTTCCTTTAATCCTTTTTAAACTCCATGGAGCTCCAGATCCTATTCAATGCACCATTCACAGCATGTCGTGTTTACTGTAAATAGCGCCCTCTGTTTATAAGTGGATAATAAGTGGATACTAGTATGCACTTTCGTTAGTCCCAGACTACATGTACTGTACATGTAGGGTCAGTCTACTGGACTCCCTCCATATCCAACCCTGCCAAAAAGGGACTTTATGGAAAAGCTTCCTCTGAGCCCCGTTTTCTCATACGGCCTCACTTCCTAATCTGGTCATTAATGGGCCATTTCAGCAATTCCCTGACTGTTTCTTTTGGTGATATTTTGGTCCCTATTTTGTCTTCTCAACACAGCCTTTTGTTTCCTGCACTGATTATCCTGATTACTTAATGGGCGATTAACAGTTTCAATCTATTTGGTCTTTGAACCAGACAGCAATAAACACGATGATCCCAACTGCTGTTTCATCAGTAACTTTGTATCAAGCAAGTCGACACCCATCATAAAACCTGGTGTACATGTAAACGCTATGAATACAGTGAAAGAAACAACTGTCAGGTGTTTGTATGAGTTATGTGTTGTTGTTCAGGGCAGCTGGGTTTGGAGGAACATATGCGTGCACACCAGTGCTGCCATGCAAGCATTGCATGTATTTCAAATTGCTATTGTATAATGTTATTCAACAACGCCATGCTCTGGAGACCTACATTTTTATTGCTGTCTGGTTCCCAGACTAAACAGATCCCGACTAGTCTAAAACTTCCCTATGGTATTTTAAATATATTATTTGAACTTTATTCGTTTTAATTTTACAGGCTGTAGTGGCTTTAGTTTACACTTATGTCATTATTTACAGGACAGCTTGCCAATGTTGCTATTCTTAAGAATTAACAGTTTGTGAAGGCAGTGGCAAATGATGTTTAAAGGTGCGTGTGCTGTTTTTAAAGACTTGTTCTCCTTATCACGAACAGTAGACAATGGTAGAGTAGTCAAAGCTTAGGCTGAAAGTGGTGCATTTATTCTAGGAAGCCCAGTTGAGGAAGAAAGTGTACAAATATTAACACAAAGAAGATTGCATCTAAACTTAGATCTCTTGATTCACATCGTAAGGGGATGTAGTGTAATACGCCGAGCCAGGGGTCCATGGAAGTCAGGAAATTGGACTGAAAATGAGGTATTTCCTTTAAGGATTGGCCAGGAAAGGCAAGCTTCTTGATAAAACCTTAAATCTTCCACTGAAACTTTCTTCACTTGACGTTATTGAGGTTGGATACAGATGTGTATCAACTAATGTTCTTGACTGCTTTATCAGCAGGCACAGTGCACATTAGGTTAGGACTGGGGTTACACATGCATAAGGTTTTTTGGGTCAAGGATATTTTATAATGCTATGATTAATATTTTGGGGACTGATTATAACTGGGCTTTCTCTCCAGACGTACATGTACATGTACAGTATGCCATGGATGATATGGTACACTGTATGTGTGTGCACATGCATACTTGGAGTTGTTTATTTAATCCCTACATGCTCTTTGGAATGACCAACCAATTTCCTACTTTTCTAAAATCAATTCAGTTGTACTTTTGTTGTGTTTTACACCTCCTGTCTGCTTAAATTTTCTTTACCTTAAATATGTGAACAATCAGATATTTCCATGTCTCATTCTTTTGAATTCATAAATTTATTTCAAAATGCAAACAATGTCTAACATTAAGCTCCATAATTACGATTTAAGAATGGTATCTCCATGCTAAATATCTACACTTACTCCCATGCTCATCTTTGGATCTTTAAAATTCAAATCTGCAAGCTGGTCAATTGATGTACATGTATATCTACTGAATCTCCAGGCATCAAGTGTGGATCAAATGATGAGGTATTTCTGGAGTGAAAGAAGACATCATATAAATCCAAGAATGGCAGAGATTAATTAAGCTGATGAATACAGCTATAGTTTCTGTATGTATGCATTCCACCCATCCCTTGGTATGGTTCATGCAACACCAACAGGGGGATTAACTACATGTATGTACACCTTCTCAAAGCTAAACACCGTCTGAATTTGGTATCCTAACAGGCTTCTGATGGACAAAGCATTATCATATATAGTGGTTCCTAACAGGCTCCTGATGGACAAAGCATTATCTGATATAGTGGTTCCTAACAGGCTCCTGATGGACAAAGCATTTTCTGATATAGTGGTTCCAAACAGGCTCCTGATGAACCAAGCATTATCTGATATAGTGGTTCCTAACAGGCTCCTGATGGACAAGGCATTATCTGATATAGTGGTTCCTAACAGGCTCCTGACGGACCAAGCATTATCTGATATCGTGGTTCCAAACAGGCCCTGATGGACCAAGCATTATCTGATATAGTGGTTCCTAACAGGCCCTGATGGACCAAGCATTATCTGATATAGTGGTTCCTAACAGGCTCCTGATGGACAAAGCATTATCTGATACAGTGGTTCCTAACAGGCTCCTGATGGACCAAGCATTATCTGATATAGTGGTTGCTAACAGGCTCCTGATGGACAAAGCATTGCCTGATATTGATTGAATCATTTGATTCCTCTTAGAACACTACTCAGTTTCCAGAGACTTCATATTAATACATTTCCTTTACTTATACCAAGCCATCTTTTGTGTCTCTGTGGTGATGTGCTTTAAAATGTTGATGATCTCACTGATTTCAGCTGTTGTGACAAAGATTCAGATCTCACCCAGATCACAGGTAGTCACTTATCTATTTCTTGTGCTGTGTGCTTTCATGGAAACTATAATTTTTCTTCGGTGTCTGGTTAATCTGTTTACACCTCTGCTTGATAATTATATGAACATTGAAAAGAAATTGAACATTATATTAATGTATCTTCATTGTAGCTAAGAATGATCATCTAAGCATTGCTTTTCACTAAAATATCAAGAATGTAGGCCACTACGCCCTTTATTTTGTGATAAATTAAATATTATCTAGGATGTAGTTTGGCTAAATAAACCTGACTCTGCCTCTTATACAGGTAATAAAAATCTGACAGTATAATTTGTGTCATCCCTTCTTATCCCAACACAACACTAACATATACTTTTGGAATCTTAAAAAAAGTAACTGCCCACTAAAACAGCATTTGCAGTTATAAACATACGTGTATTTTCATGTTTCACCATAAAGTAATAAGTTTCAAGATTTCATTGAGATGTACCTTTACATTATCTTTTAAAAAGTCCATTCAGTCTTATTTACATACTTGTTAGGGTTAAATATGATTATTTTTACTTCTTCAAAGCTGCCTGACAACTTTTTTTCTGATGTTGCTTATGTAGCCTTGATGTCCCTGTTATTAAAGTAAAAAAATTATTAACTGTATCAAAGGATATTTCCAAGAAAAACCATTGCAAAATATACATATCAAGAGAATGAGGTGTTATAAATACGTCTATATATCTACATACATGTACATAATTTTGCATAATTACGATTTCTGTGTCCAGTCTCCGATCAGAGGTCTGCAGTTTATATGATTTTGTACACTTTGGCATTTTAAAATTTGTCTCTAATTGGCAAGCCAAGCAAGGAAAGCTAAAAACTTGAAAAAAGGGCTATTTTTAAGAAATGACTACAGGTCACCATGGTGTCTGTCCTGTGACAGTTGATCCTTCTTTGCTCAACTAAAATTATAACTAACAACTGTAACCGGTACATGTAGCTACTGGTTGTACAAATTTTTGTTCCCCCATTTTTATGCAAAAAACTGAGATAACTTTTCCATAGCTAAAATTTAGCACCCAGAAGTACACAAATAGATCACAAACTAAAGAGTAGTATTTTCTTTATTTCATTTTTTAGTCCACATTATTATAAAACATGGTTTACCCTTACATGCATATCCCACTACTATGTTTGGTCGAAAATGCAAACCTTGATAGATGGAGCTCTGGCTCAATAGCACACTTTGTTGGATCTTGGTCTGTACTTGCCATTTTCCTGCCTTGCTTCGACCAAAGATGGCAGAGAATAGAACTTCCCCAAGATGAGTATATGAGTCAAGATATAAAAGAACTTTGTCCTTTTTTGCATTTGTCCTGATCTGCAATTCCAGTTGGTCTAGGGTCAGATTATCATACCTCTTCCAATGGTATACCTCCTTATCACTCAGTGAGTATGTGAAGTATCTAACTCCATTTATAGATACCACACTTTGGGTGTTTGGCATGTGATGCCCTTTCTCTTCATTAATGGAGGCTTGGAATTCAGTGAAAGTTTCACCAATCCCAAACTGTGTACTTTGAGAAGGAGTTTCACTGAATATGGCAGTGTAGCGGGTGTCATCATTGGATTGGTGGCTTATGTAGCTGGTTAAAAAGTTGAGGTACATGCCATCTATTAGGTTTTCCATTCTCAGGTTAATTAAATCAGCTTTTGTTACACCGTGTGTGACTTTATATATGTTTTCAGTATCTCTCTTTAACACAGCAGCCATGTAAGTTTTCTGCTTGATGTTGTAAGCACTAATCCATACAGGGTAGTAAAAAAGTCTGGATGCTGCATTGAGGAACATTGGGAAGTGGCTCTCGCTGATGTGAGAATTCATGAGAGTTGAGTGTTCATGCCCCATTCTAACTGGGTACTCACTACAGTCTTCAATTAGTAAGTTATCCACAGGCCACTGAGTGTGGGTAGATATCATTTGACCGAATACCTGCCTGAGATTCTTACGGTTATTGTCACTCAAAATAACCACCCAACTGCAAGAGTTCTGTCTTGGCTTTTTGAATCTCAACTGTTTAGATTTGGCTTGTGTTGGAGATTTTTGGTGGAAGAGGATGATCTCATTGTCATGGGGATCTCCTATCTGCCACCAACCTCCATCCTCGTTAGCTTGGACACCAAGGCCATGCCAAGTATCTCGATGCTCGGATACAGGTGCACTAGGATGTTTAGTCAAGAGTTCTAGAGTTGTGGCATTGAGAACTATACCTGAAGTAAGACCAGTAACAAAGCGCATCAAGTCATAAGTAGTCGACCACCATCCAAGAGTGGAATCCAGAAGGGTGTATGACTTTTGGAGGGTTTCTCTCCTGATATCAGATAACGGGATGTCGCCCTCAAAGAAATTTATTACAGGAATGTGATTGTTGTGTCTCATCTGCACTGAACTGTGAGGGCCAAGTCGTGTGTGCCACATACCTAGTGGTTTTAGAATCTCAGATCTGATGAATGAGACATACCTTTTACCACTAATGTGCTCTATTACTCGTCCAAGTACACTGTACCCAAAGTTGGAGTACTCATACTTCATACCAGGAGGATGATCAAGAGGTTGCCTCATCATGTAGGTAATGACATCGTTAGGTGAAAGGTCATGTCCCAAATTCATCTCAGTGGCAATATCAGTGACATTGTGACCTCTGGACAGATAGACAGAGTTCATCATGGGGTCATGAAGCTGAGGTCTAGTCTGGCTCCAGCCAGCGGTGTGGTGAAGTAAGTGGCCAACCATAATATTGAGAAGACGGGGGTCCATATCCTTCTTTTTGGGTGGTTTGAAAGATGACAGGATGCCGTCAGGACCGAAAACTGGATCAGTTAGCTTCAAGTCTCCATTTTCAACCAGTTTCAATATGGCCACTGCTGTAATGGTCTTGGACAAGCTTGAGATAGGTAGTAGGTTTGTTGGTGTCATTTGAATGTCATCATCTAAATGTCCATAACCCTGAGTGTAGAGAACTTCATCTCTTCTTGCAATACCAATAGTCGCACCTGTGTAATGTTTGTCTCGAAGAAATGCTGAGATCTTATTGTCAAGGCCATCGGTTTCTGAGAATGTTCTCCCATTTGGACCCAAATCTGCAAGTAGACAAAAGGAGAACTAATCATTTGAAATGCATTACTTAGGAAAAATATAAATTAAAACAAATTAGCAATTGTTTTTTAGTGTTCAGTTCTCATTAACTTACATACATTAACTTCAGAAAATACCCCATACTCTGCAAATTACAGTATATAAAAAATTTTGTTGTCTTCTGAAACATAAACTCGTTTTGCTTTTATGTTGTTTTGCTACAATGACAAATGGAAGTTTTTTAAGTTCCTCCAAAATTTACAGCGCTGTTTATTGGATAGTACAGTGTATTTGTTTTAACAACTTATCCTTAGTTAATGTAAGGACAGGATCAGATGTTTGGAAGCGATCAAGATTGTAAAAATCCTGTGTAATATGTTGGGGTTGTGGAGACTTGAAACTTAATGCAGTATTGAATGGCCGGGGGTGAAGGGGTGAAAGGGGTCGGGCGATTGTGTCTTTTAGATTTGTAGCATTGTTGAGTTGCCTCCGGGATTGAGTGGCAGGCTTTTTCGATTTTGAGGAAGGGACCTCTGTGAACTCACAGATTAAGATCTTGCAAGGTTTTACTAGGCCCAACCTCCTGAAACATATCTGTCTGTCAGGCTTAATTTGAAGCCCATGAAACGAGGATTAAGATTTGAATGCAATCGGGGATCAAATCTTACAGGGCTCAGATTTCAACCGGAGAGTATCCCCCATCTCAGAGTTGGTTTGTAACTGTCGCTAGTTACATGCCTGGCTTTCCTGCATTTCTCACTTTTCAAAAAAGATTTATACGTATCCACAGGGCATTCCCAGGATTGCCTTCATCAAGATAAGAAGTATTGTTCATGCACGGAACTGGACCAAAGTGGAACTGTTGGCATTATTCTTGTCACAAGTCACCAACAATTGGCTGGAGTGGAGGTGCAGATTATATCAAACAATGGCATCGAAGTAAGCCCTGAAGAAAGCTACATGTAGCGTGAAACAGTTTGTGAGATTGAAATTCTACAGGTGACCTTGCTTGCTACTATTGCTTGGGGGAATGGGCGGGTTAGGCACATTTACAGCTACCTACATGTAGTTTCAGGATATTTAACATTAAAATTTCTGTTTCCAGTGCATGGCATGGTGACAAAATCATGAAGTGCCTACAGTATTAGCCTCTAATGATAGGATATTTGCAAAGAGATCAATAAGTAGACATACATAATAAATGGTAATTGCTTTATTAGCAGAAATCAATACTCATACAATGCTGCCAGCTTTATAGCCTAAATGTCTTCAGTACTCATGAAAATACCAACAGACTCATGCTTTACATGGGTCATAAGTCAAGTGAAATTGTTAGTATTTTTTTTTTTAGATCTAAAGCATTTCAGGCAAATAACAAATATCTTATTAAATCGGTATTAATACTGCTGCACCCTTAAAACACAAAAACAAAAATCCAACTAAATGTGGAACTGAATTGATCCAGTACTTGGTTTGTTATTACATGATTAATTTCCTGGTAAATACCAACTTTTAAAAGTAGTATATTTGGCAGAATCGATTCTCAGTTGTTTATGTATGTTGTTTTAAATTCTATCAGCTTCCCTGAAATGATAAGATATAACCCTCATGAAATTCCTTTTCTCGGACTTTTGTTCTGTTCAATGAATAATTGAGCACCTGGGTTCATAGTGGCCGCAGTTGCGCATCTGTAGTGATGTTATTGATCTGTCTGCAAGCTTCTTGTAGTTGTAGTAGGTGTACCAATTATGTATTAAGTGTTTTAACTTAAAGCATCATATGAAACCAGGGAAACATGAATATGCCGAGAAGGAATGTTGCCTGATGGGGCTTGAGATCTATTGAGTTGGGCTTCACCACCGGAATTTTTTTACAGATGTGAGTGTTGTGCAAAGTGAATTTATCAAGCCAGCCAGTGATTGGCAAATTACCTGTAGAAGCAACCCCCCATACTCATTTTCTCATCTCAGGGAATTAGAGGAAAACTGTAATTTCCCCAAACAAGTGCAACCACTATCTACAGGTGCTTCTGATTTCAGTGTTCTATTCATACTGCACTTGTACCTACGTGTACCTTCTTGCCTTACTATGAAGTTCGCATTAATTTCCGGATGAAATGATTCAATTTACTCAAACTATTGCAAGACGGCTGTTTACCTCCAAAAATTTCTTTCATGTTTGTTGGAAAGACTATACACATCAATAGTGACAGAAGAAAGTTTTAAGTACTAGTGCACATACGTGTACACGGGCAGTATGCATTGCCTATATAACTTAAGGTTCATTGGTAAGTAATACTTGATGGGTTAATAGTTTAATCGTTAACGTATATAGACAAGTAGAACGTGCGGGAACATTTATGTACATGTTGTGTACACTGTTTGAATGTGTATGCATTATGTACAGCACTTACATGTACGATAGTCCCATTTTCAACGATTTAGATAAACCATTTTAATATTGCATTGCTTTTGTGACAGTAACCTATTTGAAAAAAAATCAGCTTCGTGTGATTGAAAACTATCTGCTGTAAACTGACCTGGTGGTCATACGTAATTTATACGTGTTTAAAATACTACAACAGCATGTGAAAGGAAGTTTAAGCTGTTTCCCAGACACGCGTGGCTGGATGTAATTTTCTTGCAGAGGTTTGGAGAAATGTAAATACAACATGTATAAGCGTGAAAAGTCAATATTCACCGCAAACTTGTCTAATATATGTGCCAGGCAAGCGACCTTGTCCACATGCCAGCACAATGGGAATATACATCCAGTGCAGTGTACCAATCAAGTCCCTTTAAAACGGTTTATTTTGAAAACATCTTCTATAAAAACAGAAGCACTGCGCTGGCGAGAGAAACAAAAATATCCACAGCGACTTAGCATGTATACATTCAGTACATCAAATTGCCAGGATAGATTGAAGTTTAAACAGTTTGTTTTTTATGAACACCCACATTAAGGCAAGTAGCTTGCAAGAATTTCAAAAGCAAATCAAACTTGATAAATTTGGGATTTATTTTCACGTACTCTATACAAATATCATGAAAACTCTTCAAATGGTGTAAACATTTCACAGCACAGGACAAAAATTGTCATATTTGTGTTAATAACAAGCACCTTTTAAATCGACATTTGTTTTGGAAAAAGCAACAATTTTTGGGAAAGACTCGTGCTTTTATATTCCAATTGCTGAATATTACAGAGTGTGGCGAGGTAGTGTACGACAGTAAGAAACGGATGGCAACCGCTTCATTAAACATTCCTCAAAGAATGTCCATCATCCTACAGCAAAGACCGCTCATGGAGGTAGAAACAGCCTCCATGGACCAATGCACCAGTCGATCAATTAACAATTGAGTGCCAGGCAAGCATTGTCCACTGTGAATTAATGGCGACTTGAAAACCAGACCAAGGGGAGTCCAACAGCCGTCGATATGTCCGGTATATTCCATTGTCAGTTTGTCCTGCTGGCCTGATAGCAAGTCTATGGGAACTTGTTCTTGAAGGGTCAGTTCCCCCAAAATCAACAAATTGTTACGGGTGGTTATTGTGATCTGTACGGTTGTGAATTCCCATCAACACAATGCAACCGGGGCGGGATCGGCCGCCCATGTTGAAAACCGGTTTTTCTTGAGGGCAGGAAGTACAGTACCCTAGCAAACGAAAGGAAGAAATGTACAATACGTGTACGTGTCGTTACCGGTACCATGGAAGATTCCTTGGATTACGAAACAATTGCTATGGGAATATAACACTCCAAGTTGTGCTTTATTTCTCGATTCAAAGAATTGAATGATAATAGTTAATTGAATCAGTTCATACGCACAAATCTAAAAATGGCTTCTAACTTTATCCTAATCGTCCGGTTTTCCTAAGTAAATTTCCACAGCTTCTTACACATAATGAAGAAAAAGCCGTGCCTGCTTGTCTTAAACTTCAAACACTTTAAAACTCTCCTCTCGGATTAAACCCTACACAGGCTTCATTTACATCGTCGTGAGATGCCAAAATTTAAGCTGGCGTAAATCTTCACCATTAAGAGAGGCAGGATTTCAAGCCATGGTTAATTCTTTTGGCCAAGGGCGCTGTGAATTCTGCTCCTTTTAACAGGAATAACAAAAGTTTTACGAGGTGGCTCTATTAACTAGAGCTTTTATGAAAACGCCCTTTGTTTCGCGGTTTGTATTATGTTTACGGTCAGCAAATAAATTTTTTATGGTTTCAATATCGTCACAGTAAAATACAGGAAGTCCAAAGAACTACGGTGGTCAAGTTGGAAACGCAAGATATTTTTTTCTGTGGGGAAAAAGTGGGCGTACAAATAGCTCCCTGGAACATCTCATCTACTGTATGAACAGTGACAAGTCTCAACGGATGCATGTTGGATTTAAGAAAACTTATGTACAGACATGAGTTGTATAACTTTGTCGTGATGTTTACGGTTTGGAAACTTTAATGTGTCATTAAGTCTCCACGATTTTTTTATGTGGCAACTGTAACTATATGGACATTTACGTTTTGGCGGTGCGTTAATCATGAAGTACATCAATTTTGTATGCAAATAATTTCCACAAAATTCGAGGAAATGTTAGCTTGATTTAAAATCTCAGTTCTATCTAATTTCAATTTTGTACCATTTCACTTTGCCAACCAAATCTAGTTTATCCCTGAAATTTAAACTTTGATCCCTCTATTCAGACGGGGTTAGATTTATTATTAATAAATAATTTGTTTGACAGATGCGATATGGGATTGAGGGTCAAGAGGGTTAATATGAATACTTCTTTTCAATTTGACGTGTACTTTGCCCCTATTCCATGGAGGAATGCACCATCAGCGGAAGATGCGGGAATTACAGATTGAACACGGAATGAAAGATGACATAATCAAACTTTCCTGTTTTGTTTGCAAGAAGAATACCCCCTTTTAGAAACCTTACAAGTGTGCAACTCTAAACTTAAACGTCTGAATGCACTAACCGTATCAGTATAAGTAATTCTGTCGGTTGAACAAACTTTCATTTCAGCACAGTGGAAACCTGTCTGTGAAGGTTACGTATAGCTGTAATATAACTGACCGTAATTTTGGTGTGCTGTTTGTCTGGCTGAAATGTTAAAGCATACATACCTATAAGTGATCTTCCCGGCGATGTTCAAGTACATACTCGAAATTGTCGGACCAAGCGATCAAAGTACGAAATAAACAAAACGGATAAATGTGTTAGGTTCAATTTACATGTGCAGATGTATTAAGATTAATTTAGTACCTAAATGTTGTGTACATGTATTCAGGTGTGCATAGTGTCAAAGCCTCATAAGATGTATCTTCCCGTTTTAGTGTATTTTGTGTCCGTAAACACTGCTGAATGATGTTTAACCTCACAGCCTGACAGTCCCCGTTAAAAGAGCGCGATGAGAAGTTTGAGCCTGCGTCAAGCCATCAAGCGTGGAAGGGTTGTGAAGGTGTGACAATTGTTTCCGTCATGTGCATCCCTGACACCTGACAAACACAGTAAATTGAAAGCTGAAAGCGTCCCTAGCTATCTTCAATACAGCATTCACGCGAGGCCTTAAGTCATACCATCGTCAGGCGACGAGAAAGTGTGAAGAACGCCCACCATGCGTTTGTGTCGAATTCTTAGATACTTTTGGGGCCACACAAATAAAAATGGTTTCCTTTTCTGCTGCTGCTTAGGAAAACTGGAGGAATAGACTAAAACTCCATATGGTATGTCGTTACCAAGTCCAAGCAAGGATGTCTTCCCCTCGACTAAGAAACCCCTAGAACTGTCCAAGTGCTTATAGAATTTAATCTCGCATGCCCAAGAAATATAAAAATAAACATCTTGTCAAAGTACCCTATGGAAATTTACCGGTTTTTTAGCTAATTTCAAACATCTGGGGATTTTGAAAGGCATCTTAATGATTAATCTGTAGCGAAAGATTCCTATTACACCAACACGACGTTTAACCTTTAAAGTTTAAGTCATTATCCATTTTATCTGTAATTGAAAGCTGTAGATTTAACATGATCCATGTGAGTCGCATGCTCAACGCCAAATAGGTTAAAACCTCTATCTTTGCGTCTGACGACGCTTTGTGATACGAGGAAACAGCCCCTTGTTGACGCCAACCAAAACACGAACTGTCTTCCCTGATTACTGACAGCCTTTGCTACGGTCCTTGTCGGTTGGCTGAGCTTAAGTTTCATGGGGGCATCATGAACTGTCTATCACAGCCTGGCTTTGCTTAGTGCGCAGATTACTACAATGAACGTGCCTTTCAGTTTCAGCGATCTTCCAAAATCTTACCGTAATCCCTGGTAAGCAGTGAACTGAAAGAACTGCATTTGCGGCTCATTCCAGGAAGAAACAACATACCGCGGGACCGGCCTTGCTTGTGATAGATTGAAAATAAATATTTACACCACAAATTCTCCACAGTTCTGTTCAAGAGTTTTTATTCTTGTTTTACAGGAGCTTTGGTGTTAAGACCAGACAGTAACCGGATTCAGTATTTTAAATCCTCAAGTAGTGGTGTCTTGTATGATTTCAGAAGTCTTCAGCACAAGTTAACGCAAGTTATTCTTAGGTAGATGATAGTGAGATTACAAGTACTAATTCGTACTCGTAGATTGCCCTTGAGCAATTTTGGGCAATCTGAGCACGGAGGGGAATGGAACACGGCAGACAGCAAAACACTGTCGGATCACCGTCATGGTCGGATCAACCTGTATCCCTTTCGGGGTATGCAGATGTGGTGTACATGTAGTTCGTATCTTCACTAATCCAGAATGTTTGGGTCCTTTCAACCATCAAAAAAGACGAATACGACTTCGACATTTTAGAAACATGTATCAGGTACACACGGAGAGATAGAGGACTTCTTTGCAAAGACAGCCAACGTTAGATAACACCAAATATGCATATTCACAAAACTCTGCGAGGTAATTTTAAAGACTGCTTTTACTTCTCAACTCTTTCCAGCACCCTTATGGCTAAATCACAAGTGTTGCCAGGATGGTTGGAAAATGGACGTAACGGGAGCAACACTGATAAGGCCCACTAAATTAGGCCAGATTTACACGTTATTCCTGACGTTTTCTGAACTTTTAAGGTCAAATTATACGGTTTTAGAAACTGCAGGTTTAAAACAAATGAGTTGTGCCCATAATGCCATGAAAGACTTAAAGTGTTGCAGGACTCACCCGGGCTTTGCTTTGATGTGAAGGTCGTCCTTGCTTTATTTTTCATGGCTCCGTCATCACCTCCAACCAGCGACATCATCGTTATCAACACTAAAAAGAAGACCAACTCAATGTGTCCCTGAACTCGTACTTCCATTGTTCCGTGAGAAAACGGAAAGTTTCTAGGCAAAGGCCTACCAACAAATTCTCGCAAAAAAATCCACAGCTGGTGCATACACACCTGCTTTGAAGTACATGTACATGTACGTATCCGAATTTTTCAAATCAAAACGTATGGACAAAACGTAGACCAAATAAGAAGCAACAAACTTGAAATGTTCGATATAACGAAAACTAGATCGAATGAAAATCGGTGTATTTTATCGGGAAACACGTGAGTGAAGACAAACGCGAAATCCCAAGCAGAGTGCGTCTATGACGGATACAGTTGCCAGTGCCACCAGAAAACGTTCACACATGCAGTCTTTCGTGTTTACAAGCATAATGAATGACTGTGTACATGTACATGTATATTGTGTCCACTACACTGTGTGCAGTACACGTCGTACGTAGGCCTGCTGTACAAGCATATACATGTACTGTACACGTACTGTACAGAGTACAGTTGTGCTTCTATGAGCATGCACAGGACACCACTCTAATTTGGTTGATCACTGAAGAGGTACACATCACTCACACTAGACGCGCATGGAAAAAAAATCGGCCATAAACCAATCAGATCGTGCCAAAGTTAGCAGGGGTGCGGTCTGCCACTGGCTCATCTGAACTTTGTGGAACATATACAAATAAGAACACGGACATAGTCCTTGTAAACTATATGGCAAATTGATCTTTCCGCATTGTTAATTAATTCAAATTGTGATTGTTTTCAGTGTTGTTTTAAGGATTTCACAGTATAAATGTCAAAAATTGACAGTACTTTTTGTTTAAACCGAAAATTATATTGAAAGTAAACAGTCTGTTTTCAAGCTTTTTTACCTTGACAAAACAAGGGTGGTAAATATATTTCATTGAATCATTTTGGTAAATTTTTGGAGATCAATTTTCTCTGTACCCACCCATTTTCATGACATTTGAAGTAGCCTATTTTGTGAAGTTTTCAATTGTCTTGCACTTGCGAGATGAAACTGATTAAGATGCTATTTTATGACATGGTGTAAACAAATCATAAATACTGCTGGCATACTCCACTGTAATGTCATAATTATTTCCTTTGAGTTGACCAGAGGTTTAGCGTGTGACCTTGATGAGTTTTATGCACTTTCAGTGTGCCCTTAGAACTTGCAAATCAAGGAAACAACATGGTTTCCACAACTACCACAACACATAAACATATTGAATTTGTTAGGAAGTGGAAAGACTAGATATATGCATTAGCAGACAGTTACATGTGTTATGAACATCAGTGTGGCTGGCTGACTTCCAATGGCCCATGGATTCCTCTCGTGGATTTGACTACAGTTTGTAAATAGATTACAAGTATGAATTAGCTAGCTCTTGGTAACTACACTGGCAAGTAGTTTTTCTAATATACTAAGGCCTGTATTTTTTGTTATAACATTTGTCAGTATTAAGGGTTACGATTAATTAAAACAGGATTTTCTTCTCCAGTGTACATGTAGGACACTGATGATAAACAATCAGTGATTTAGAATGCAGTATCTGCTTGAATGTGTTGAAGTGAAATTTTGAGAAAACTTCAGTAGGATTAGGAATTTGTCTTTTCAATCTGCTTTTGGGCTGTAGTCCATGGCAGTAAACAATCTCTGAAGCCCTGGTCAAGTGACAGTTATCCCATAGCAGATTGGTCAAAATGCCCTAATGTGCAGCTGTCATACTCCCTAAGTTGGCATAAATTACCCTGAAATATACACAGGATCTGTTCAGGTTGGCAGATTTCCTCTCATGTGAGACTTTAATGAGGCTCTCGGGTCTAGCACTTATAAAGAAAGTTTTATTATTGCACACCATGTTAATTATGTTTCCGTTCTTATTTCAAGGGGTCATTGGGGTGAGTCCCCCAGGAATGTCTTAATTTAATGGCAATAAGTCAATGGGGGTATTCAGAATTACTGCTTGTACAGGAAGACCCTATTGGGTATAAATTCCACTTTTTTTTTGCCAGGTGGGTCTTGACTCTTGGTATCATGAAATTACTGCATTGGGACCAGACTATATTAAGGTATTTTTTCTGTTGACTGGAAAAAAAATTGCCACCACTTTAAAGTTCCTGAAATAAAAATAAAGCTCCCATCAGCACTTAGGAACATTTAAATATACTTTAATCTTTGTTATGCAGCTGGTATGTGAAAATAATTGATATGTGCTCATTTGAAGTTATTTTTTTATATTTATATAAATTTCCCCTTTAAAATCTTGTTCTGATTTCTCAATTGAAAGTTTAATCTTTGAGAACTGTTGTGTATATAGAATGCAAACAGACTGAATGTAATACCAAAGTGCCCAATAAGCAATATGACTTTTGCCATGGGTTATGTGACTTACTGTTTCTTCAGAAAAAATATATTTGGGAACACACCTGTAACAGATGTTAGATTAATATAAAAGCAAATCTATGTCATGCCTAGCTTTTTGGGTTAAATTATAATAGGTCTACATTTATAGGTATTATTTAATTGAACTTGAACACCATAAGAACCCTAAGCCTTATAACCTGTGTATTTGTTCACAGGAACAAAATCTGAGATTTACATATAAACATCTGAATGCAGCCAGAACTGAATCACATTACAAATTAAGTAAGTTTTTGGTTCATAGAATGCCTACTGAATGGCAGAGATTGTAATCAAGGTTTGTCTTTAATTGACTGTTTGTGACCAGCAACATTACAAAATCCCTGGCTGAGTTGTCTGATCCTTTGCTTTTGCAATCCACAGTGCCACAGTCAAACCCATCAAATATTTGTTCAGAACTTACATAGAAAACTATGAGTCTGTTGATTACTAAAAGTAGGGCTATTAATCGGTGTCTTGATCCAACAGTAAAATACAGTGGAATCATAACTTTCTGGATTCCTCAAAAGAGTTGAAACTTGATTGAAACGTATAACAGTTTTTACACATGTGGATAGAATGTCCATTGTCGGCCAACTTTGAAAATTGTCTGTGTAATAGTTATAGGTCTGTTTTGACCATAAAGCAGAGTTATCAAATAGACTAATTTGACCACTGGGATATTTATAGCATTGTTTACAGCTATCACCATAAAGTGAAACCTTCACACCAATTAGTGTCTCTTTATGACCAATATGTCTGTCATCAAAATCAATTTTGTAACACTTCGTTTATGTTTTGTTGGAGTGGTGCACATGTGGTGTGATTTCTTGCTACCTTCCACGACTAGGAGTCATTTTATCACATACAACGTATTTTTATCCCCTCAGTTGGTGTTTTGCTTTTTTCCATTTAAGGGAGAGTATGTAATAACATGGTTTGGCTTTGTATGTAAGCTGATAGTCTGAACTCTGAAATCATTGTTGGTACATGTATCTTCATGTAGGTGGTCCTGTACACTGTTGATCAGATCAGACTTATGCATGCATGATTAAGAACTGTGGTAGAGGAAGAAACATAGGTTTTTAAAATTTTTCAAATTCTGAAGTGCTTTATCCAAAAGTTGGGAAATTCGAAATTTTAATAACCATCAAACATTTTTGAGCTGTAATTGAAAGCAGCTTTACAATTCCATGAATTTCCACGAGTACTTGTAAAAAGAAAGTTGTCAAGGGATTTTTCATTCCTCTTACATAGTGCATCAATTTGAGAAATCTTGGATGCTGATGGCCATTTTCAATTGAATTGGTATTGTATAAATGTGCCAAACAAATGTGTTGTTGCATCCCATTGTATGCAATGTCTTTCCTATAGAACATGGTGTACATGTAACACCCTTTTTTCCCTAAAAGTAGATTTAATGTGTTTTTGTATGAAAGAAAACCAAGTTCACTAGGACCATGAGCTACATGTATATATTGAAGATACCTGTAGAAAACTTTTTCCTTGGTTTTGCTATTTAATAAACCTATTTGTAACAATTTCTCACTTTAAATTGAGGTCATTCATGTACGCCCCTATCTCTTGAAATCCTTTCTCTATTTAATTAGGGAATTGGGATGAAAAAACTATATTTCACACAGTTACACAATGGCTTGTATGGGATGGAAGTCAAGGTCCAGTGAGGAGATAACCATTAAGTTTTGGTTGTCTGAAGAGCCTGTATGTACAGTTATTGTTCACTTGGGTCCAAATTCAAAATTTATTTTCCATATTTTTGGGGTGTGGCACCTCAGAAAATGAATGGACAATTTTTAGGATTGCATTTGTTTTGAGCTTTTCATTGAGACATCACATGAAAAATTGGAGGCCATAATATGTAATCAATAAATTTCTGTGTTTGAAATGAGAAGGTAGTCTGGAGCTAGTGTGTACAGGTGTCTTTACAACTATGGTTTATGAATAATAATCTCAACTCAACACATCAAGAATGAATGTATGCTACATGTACATGTATTTTGTCAGAGGCGATTGGTTACTATGACCGGTGACATGCATGCATTACATAGTTAGGATTGGGTAAGTTGAAAAATGTAGGATGCAAATTGAGATACTAGCTTGCCATATCACCCGAAAAGAATAGTTACAGAGATTTACTCAGAACTATTTTTGCTGTTGTGCAGTGCTAAAGGGCATTGTTTAATTGCATAGAGGCCTACAATTATGAGCTACATTGTAACAACTTCATTTGTTACAGGACATCATATTCCTTCAACATACATGTACTGTACTCTAAGAAAAGAAATTTGATACTTAGAAAAAGCTTGGACTATATAGCTTTAAATACAGTAAGTGCTTTTATAGTTATCATAATGATCTAGAGCATTGTCCCTTCCAGTTTGCTTTGACTTAGATACTCAAAGAGAAATTGAACATGAAAATGAGGACACTTCTGTTTACAATCATTGTCTTAGGTTACTTGAAAAGTCATCAAAATACCTGTACCAGGCAGTAAAACAGATGGCCATGTACTTTTGTGTTTCACTTTAACAATGTGCTTTCAGTTCCATCTGTTTGGATGCTAAGTAACCAACAATTATTTTGTGTAGATGAACCCCCAAATCTGTGTGAATAGCAGAAACCATTGCGTATCATCGCCACAAATAGTTTGTTTATGGAGCTTGATGATTTCCACTGCTCTGTTAAGTTGACCTCTATTAACCTATGTACATGGGGTACTAGGGTTTCAACAGCTGTGTGAAATCAGTACATGTACAATGTACGATATTTAAAACTTATACATGTACATGACACAAGGCAGTGTTAATGACCGACTAGCGAAGTTAGAAAAGGTTTGCCTTTGAAAACAACAAGTAGGGAGTTAAAAAATGACCAGGTTAATTGACTTAGTGTGCATTATTTCTGTCTTTTGTTATTTGACACTTAGTGTACAGGAAATCACAGAGAAATTGTACTGTATCAGTAACAGAGTTTTTTTTGTTTTTGTTAGGCAGACAAGATTGTTTTTCTGAAGTACTTGAAAATATCTAAACCTTGAAAATACATGTACGTGTAAGTGTATATAAAAAAGCTTGTCTGTATTTCTGTTCCCGTCTGCAATTACTTCAATTTACCGAGTCAGATAATCCACTCTTCAGATGGAAGAAAAGCAACACATTGAACGCATGCAGGTAGTGAACAAAAACAGTATCAGTCCTAAAAATTTGAGCATCCCTTGGAATAGGCCTAAGGTTATGTCACCGGCCTCCCACCCACCAGGTCCCTTTACTTGTAGTCTAGGCTTTACTTTGATTTGTAATGACAGCAACAGTCCAGCTCTTCCTTGTTCACTCCTTCCAGAAAAATGTAGATTAACTTACGCCCTAGAGTGTATGTAAAATCATACTGAAATTGGAGGTTTTAGGAGCATTAGGGTTAGCTAATCAAAAGTATAGATGCAGAACCTTGTCTGTCTTACACCTATGTTCACCCCTTCCACTTAGTTTGTGCGCATATGCTAAAATGCAGCAAAGTCAAGCTCACTTTCTGTTGCTTGTTAAAATGGCGATGCCAGCCAGGAAACGACTGCGCAAAAATCTATCTGCGGGGATATCTTCCACACCGTGTAAACGTTTGCTGAATTTATACCAGAAAAATCTAATCAGGCTGCAGATTTTATTTTGTGATGTGTTTCTTGTTAATCAAAAGTGACATTTTGGAGAAAATTGGGTGAAACATGTATGTGTATGGTACATTTCTGAATGTATAAAAAGGGTAATTTAAACTTGAAAATTTGAATTGTTCTCCAGTTGGTCCACACATGCTGCTTATCCTGATAACTGAAAGAGTGTTTGAAAAAGGTTACCATGTTATGTTTAAGCTATGGTGAATTGTCCTTTGTTAGTTTGATCAATTTTGGCTCTCTGTTGTCCGGTCGGCCATGGTTTACGTGTGCACATGTGCAATGTACATATACTCCATCAACGCACGTACATGTGTAACTACTACGGACAAATTATTCCCGTGCAAGATATTCAATTTGCAGTAACTTGAGAATAGAACTGATGTTTTTATTAGACCTTAATACATATGCACGGCACTTTATTTTGTTTGTTCGGATAACTGGACAAGTTGTGATGAAATGGAAAAGAATTTGGATATATTTTCTTTCCAATCTGATTGTGTTTATTTTTCGTAAAAATAACTTTTTCAAAATTTGTTTCAAATTTCGTGCAACTGGGCTCATATGATACAGTGGTTTAATGTTGTCGTATCCATTTTTAGTTATCAGGTATCTTTGTGAACTTTATTTGTTTGTGTTTTGTTAAAAATAAATTATGATCTTTAACCTCTAAAGAAATGTCAGAACGATGTTCGACGTTGCCTGCCTCGAAATCCACAGTAAAGTGATGGAGTACATATGTGCTACATGTAGCTCTCAACTAAGTGGTGCACAAGGGCATGGGAGTGAACATGCGTGCTTACAGACTTCATTGACAATCAGTTCACCAGCAGTGAACAATATCATGTACACCGAAGTACATGTACGTGTATATGTGTGTCCAATAGGTGGTTACAATGGTACAGTGTACACACATGTAACAAAACACATGAAGAAATGCCATACACACTTTATGCACAGCAAGCATGCAGTACATGTATGTGCTCATTGCTGATTGGATGTTGTAATTTGCATGATCTGAAACAAGTAGTCTAACACAAAGATATTTTTATGAAACCTCCCAAGGAAAAAATACAAACAAATATAATCCTCAAGCAACATAAATAAAAGTTAATCACTGAAAAGCAAAACAGATCTGCAAATACTCCCAAAACGAAACTAAATTACACAACTTATTAACTTTTTATTTTAAAGGAAAAGCTTAGTACTTAGCAGTGAGGAAACTGTTGGTGAATACTGTATTTCCTAAATTTGAAATTTACTGTTTTCTTGCTGTGGTTCAGGTCTGTAATTTTTCATATCAAATTTTGGACTTGCAGTCTTGTTGAGAGACATACATGTATATCGCTAGGCCTGTTACAGCAATTGAGAAGTGGGATTGTCACCCAAATTGTGATACACAATACCCCCGACCAAGAAAAGCTGACATTTACTTTTTGAAAAGAAACACATAAATGCTATAAAAGGAAATTTCTGCTTGATTCATTAGTTTTACAGGTTTTGCTAGAGACTGATCATTCTTGTGGTAGACTATCAAATAAAGATAAGGATTTATGGGGAGCTGTCCACTGATTACACATACCAATGATTAGTGATTCTCTCCAGACATTATTTATAACTTTGCTTTACAACAAGCAATGCTGTCTGTGGTTCTCATATGGACAAATCACTTGGAACAGGGTTATCCTGGATCAAGCTTTTGTGTGATGTACATGTACTATGACTGATTGAAAATATTTGATTTCTCTGGATTCCATATGAGAGACATAATGTATGTGTAACTTTAGAGATGAGTAAAGCAAGGGATAGAATCCATGGGATGCTGAACCAGGGCCGGTACCCATTTGGGTAATCAAGTGGGCTGGGTAGGAGGGGTAATAGGAGGGTACATTCTACACAGGGTAGGAATTTAGAAGTCTTTATCTTCTGCCATAGTGGTTATTTTCACCGACCTTGTAGTCTTGTCACCCTTCACTGATGTCACTCAGCTTTAATGAGGTTATCTGGTTGCATTAGGCCTATGTATGTACAGGGGAAATATGGAAGGTTTTGTCTCTGCTCACAGACCCACAGCTACAGACCAATTCATTCTGCATTGAGTAGGAAGTATTTTCTTCTGCTATAGTGGTTTTCACCGATATTTTTAGTCTTGTCGCTCCTGTAGATCTTTTTCACCCATCGTGACTAAATGTAAACAATATCACCACGCGTGGACTGCCTTGGCCACGGTGATCGTATATATTCCTACTGGCAGCTTCAACCACATGCAAGCACAGGTGTGAACGCTGCATGCTTGACTAGTTTATCTTGAATAAGTAGATTACCATCACAACACTATGCACTTATTACCATCACAACATCATCACGTGACATCACTGGAAAAAGGTCTATAGCAAGCGGCATTATGTCTTTGTAGAGGAAACATTGTCTTTGCTCACAGACCCACAGACTAATTCATTTGTTTCAAAAAGAAGGTACTTGAATATCTGAACTTTCTCAAAACATTCAACGAATTTGCTTTCTGGAAGTGATCCTGCTTCACAAGATCAAAACATATACAGTGGATTGGAAACCTGATTGTCACCTTTTTGTTGACATTGTGTGAGGGCTTATGTCTAGTTCAGTAGTTGTTTTATTGTTTATCAGATTTGGAGATTAAAATACTCCTTCAGAAGAGAAAAACTCAGTTGAGCTGTCATCGTGGCATTAGCTTTTACCGTGATCACCAACCCACATTCCTTTCCAATCCATTTCCCATATTTGTTTACATTTGTCCTCTCTTAGTTTTTTCAGTTTTTTCTTTTGTTAAAGAATTGTTAAAGAGGCATTGCTGACTCTTTGTCAGTTTGTACATGTACACCCATAGTTTCTATCCTCTCTCCGAGGATTAAGTACATCTGAAAAGCAGAGGTCTTTCAGAGGCATTAGTTTGTGGGGGCCTTTGATATCAAGCTAACCGGCCTGTGTTGCATTTTTTCTTTTTTGTTATGAGAGTTGTGTTGATAATATGAGATGGATGATGGACTGTGTGATAGATTATTAGAGTAGCCAGGTTGACTGACCCACTTTCTGAGTTGTATGAGGGATTTTTGTTTGTTAACAATGACCGTGATTTATGATGCTGTTCACAAAAACTAATTCAGTAAAGTATGGCATTTTCTTGCCATGTCAGGAATCTCAAATTTTTTATACTTCAAAGGCCAAGGAAACAGCCCCTAGGGAAAGTGATCTAAAGCAAAATTAGTTTCAGGGCAAACATGCCAAGTTTGTATATAAATGTAGTCATTCTGCAATAATTAGGACACAGAATCTCTCTGATATTAAGCTTTAGAGGATCAAAGTTGGGTTAAAATATATCTTTTGCCTGTTGTTTATTTATGTAGTTCAGATTACAGAATGATATGTGCAAAACACACATGTATTTTTATTCTGGGAATATTCTGAGTAATTAAATTTTGATGTATGTATACCTTTACTTGTCGACTAAGGGGTGTGATTCATAGTGTGTAGCCTAGGGGTGATCCCCTTGAATCTGAAATGATATCTGTGATTCAATCATGGCTAAAATTAAATAATTGGCCCACCGCGGGTGCACTGGTTCACCTCCCGTTTGCAGGTAAGCTAGTCTACTCCCTGTGTGCTCACTTTACAGCCTTGGTGGCTAGTTCACCCCTTGTGTGCAGATACACTGGTCCACCTTCAGTATGTGTTGCCCTAAAACTGTTTGTGCTTCAGATGGATTTCCCTAAGGGTTGTTTCCTTGGCGGTCATTCACTGATGTTTCTTCGATGAAGTGCAAAATGAAGAAGTTCAGACGTTTTCATAATTCTTGCAGGATTTCCCTCCCACGTTGGCAAAACTAGCCTAAAATAACAATAACAGAACTTGAATCAGAATTTTCTGACAGAGCTAGCCCCTAAATAGACTGTGACCATTTAGAATTTCCTGAGGGGCTTGACTTGGTGATGTGTGATCAGAAGGCAAAGAGAAACCGACTTCAAATTTTCATGTTTTGGTAATCTCCTGCCTTGGAGAAAATGGTATTTTTTATTCAAATGCTTGAAGCTGCCATGGAGTGGCATCTGTCAAAGAATTTTGGTTTAGTGAGGTTTCATGTAAAACAAGAGTTCAACAGTGAGTTCAACTTGAGCCAATAAAATTTGGAGATTTTTCACAAACTCAAGTACTGGGCATAAAGGTGTAGGCCCCCCTACTTGCTGTTTGGAAGAGTATTCATGTTGAGGTAATCCTTCATCATGGGCATCATGAGAGCAAGGGGCATGCTTGCCCCTCCCTATGAAAAACAGAAAACAAAAGAAAAAAACAAGATAAAGAAAGAAAGGGAGGGAAAGGAATGGAAACCATCACTTGCTTTAAAATACCTCCAAGGACCAAATTGACCCTCTTCCATTGTTAATGGTCAACCCCCCCCATGGAACACCATCCCCCAGAAAAATCCTGGCAGTGCCCATAAGATCTTTTCACCTTTCTTCCAATTTTGCAGTGTTGCAGTTAAATGAATTTATATGCACACACGATTGTTACATTCTGTTACATTAAAGTAGTTTGATTTCCTGAGTGTGGAAGCTAGAACTTGATACTTTGGGACTGTGCAAAAGTGTTCATTAGAATTTGAAATTTATCAACATTTTTTTCTCCAAAGATTTGGAACATTTGAATCAATGGTAGAATGGGGAAAACTAAGAAGCAGAGGAGTCAGTTGGTCAAAGTGAAGGGTACCAGTGAAAAGCAGTCAACCAACCACAGAACTTTCAAGGTATCACAACACAAAGCGACTAAGGCAAAACACAAAGCCAAAGTAGTGTCAACAAACCTCAAAAGGGTAAGTGCTGCCTTGGTTATGTCAGAGATGAGATCCACTTTTTTAATGAGATTTTCAACTGGGTTCATATTCACTGTCATGTAGATTGCTTTCAGTTAAATGCTACACCTCACGGAACCACTCCACAAAAGAAGTTGGGGAGCCAGATCCTTTGGAGTAGCTGCCCCTTGACTTTGGAATTCTCTTCCGTTTGAGTTAAGGTCGTGTACTAGTACATGCACCAATAGGTTTAAATCACTTCTCAAAACTGACCTTATGGCTCAGGCAGTGATTCAGTGATTAATCCATTCTCAATTTTTCTCTGTATAATCTTTTTGTTTAAGCTTTTATTCTTGTATTACATTGTCTAATTCTGCTGCACCTTGAGCACCCAAATCTGAAACCTAAATCTGAATTATTATTGTATTGTTAAGATGTACTTTGAATATTTTGCACTTGAAACGTTTCTGGAGAATTATGCCTGATTAAGTTTGGTATCAAACTATGTTTTTGGTTGGTCATCACCAGAAATTAAAAATGTTCCATTCTGCTGCTTGGGCCTAAGCTCTGCCTCAGAGCCTGGTCATGCTTTAGAAATATGATTCCAACCTACCTAATATCTGTACATCTGTATGTGTCCCAACACCATCGCTGGTTGTCACATACATGGGAAAAGGGGGATAATATACAACCATAACAACATTGCTTGCCTAGAAAAAGTGTTAATGTTAACACTTGTAGAAGTGGTTAGGCCATGCAGATACTCCATTTTGCTGTTGATTACCAGGTTCTCAAGGTACGTTACATGCATAATAAACCCAATAAATTATGGTCCTGCAGTATGTATATTAATTGAAGTTGTTATGTAATCTTCAAAACAACTTGAAAACAAACTGAGCTTAGAATTATTACCAGTCCATACTGGTAATGTATGCGCTTGTACATGCAGGTGACCAAGGTTGTGTCTGTTATTTCACATTACACAGGAGGAATTTTCTTTATTGCATTCTTAATGCAACCTTCAAGTTACATTCTTAATGTAGCCTTGAGTTAAATCAAACAGGACCTCAGAAGGACCATGTCAGTCTAACCATAGAGCTACAAACCTCTATGGTCTAACCATGACCAGACAGGCACCTCAAGGCTCATGCTATATCCTTGGGAAGTGTAAATGATTAGTGCTGGAAGAGCCCCTGGTGACAAGTATCTGGGATTGAGAATGCCTTGAAGTTATCCCAAATGAAAGTTAAACATTAGGCCCCCCAAAAAAGAAGTCGGTCTCTGGTCAGACCAACATGCAGCGATGCAAAGGCTAGTAGTAGCATGTTGCACGTCATGCCGCCATTGTTGTTGATCAGCTGGCTGCACCTTTGTAACCTACCAATGGTCTACTGTGTGAGTTCGACATCAATATGAAGCAGTTGTAACGGATCTATCACTGGGTAGGAGCTACATGTACTCACTAATTAGTCTGGTTCCTTGAACAAATTGGCCTTCTGACTTATGGACTTGTGACCAGGAATCAGTTTATTTGCAAAATTCAGGTGGTGCGGAAATAGAGGGTGCTGTTTTGAAAATTTTGAGACAAAATAAACAAAAATACTTGACATGAATGTTCAAATTTGATGTGTGCGCTGACCAGAGACCGACTATTTTTTTTTGCCGAAGTTGGCCAATGCAAGTACATGTACTGGTACATGTACTGATAAAACACCATTTTGTGGCTGTTGAAATGAACAATAGAGTTTACAAAAATAAAATAAACCATTTTTTTCTGTGATGATGTGCATCCATGAGACCACCCTTTGTATAACATCCTCCTTGGTGTGGTTTTAATTTTGTACATTGACATAGTAAAAACAAGAGGAGTCAATTCCTTGATGCTTCCTTGAAACAAATTTTTGTTTAAATTGTTCAACTTAAGTGACTGTTGAAAGTTGCTCAATTGGCACTCCAAATTGAATTGAACATCATTGTAGGTATTTTTTTAAAGATGTCATGCTGTCTTGGTTTAACCAAGAAATTGATGTCTCTGCCCCCATGTGGACATCAATTATGCCCAAAACCACAACTATGGAAGGAGTTTGTTCTCTCAGTAAAGCACAGAGGAGTTTACCCTCCTTGAGTTGAGAGATGCTGACCTTGCAGTTGTGAGGGCTAGAAATGAGTGATTTGGATTACATGTACTGGTACTTCAGTACCTGTTTAGCAGACTTAAAAGCTGACAAGTCACCTGAAGAGTATTAAGTTAACTTAACCCTACTTTTGTCATTATAAGATTCTTTTTAATTGTTGTAGCCAGAGATTTTAACCTACGTTTCATTCTAATTTTCTTTTAAATTGGTGTAGCCAGGACAGGTTTGCCAGAAAGCCCTGGGTCACTGGGATGGGCCAGTTTTTGAGTTATGCCAAAAGGGTTAAAAGTATTTCAGTAAGACAGGGTTTGGAAAGCTATCAAGGCTGCAAATTTTATCCTGATATTTCAGTATTTGTACTTGTAGAGAGTTTTCATGAAGAAGGCCTTTATTACTGTTACACAATTTGAGCAGTCTTTTATGAGCCCAGTTTCCAGAGTACATTCAGGGCTCCTTTATTTACCTTAAATTCTCCTTTTGAAAGGCAAATCCTTTCTTCTTGACCTGAGGCCATTCCTTTAGTGCATGGAAGACCCCTCATTTATTACTCCACATTTAGAAACTGTTCCCATTGAGGATTTCCTAGTGGTAGTCCTGCTTTGCCTCACATGTCAGAAAGTCAGATCTGTTGTATCAGATAATATTTGATGTCTCCGGCATGTTGGATAAGATTATTAGAGCAGCATAGAACATAAATCTTGTGTTGAATCTGTAAGGTCATTCAGGATGTTGTAAAACATACATAGCCTGTAGTCTGACATTTATGACTGGCATAATTAAGCATTGAGGGAGACCTTTATTTTTGGACTTGTTTTGGATTATTTCTGCAGCGTCCTTAGACATGAGCAAGCCGAATATCTTAGCCATCTCCCTCTAAAAGGCTAAGTTCTTCGAGTGTCTATGTAGATACTGATATGAATTTCTCAAAAGAACAGATGAGAAAGATCCACCCCATGCCTGTCCATCCATATACTGATACATGTACACGTATGTCCCTTTGTTTTACATAGCTATGGACTCAGAATGAATAAAATGTTCATTTTACTTCATCAGTTGAATTTCCAGAACAGACAGCAAGTCTGCAATATCAACGATAGATTTAGAGATATCCAACAATCAACGGTAACGATCAGTCAGCCCAAGGCCACAACACCAACATTATTGAAACAGGTGAGATTTCTGACATTTCAGTGCATTTTTTTATTTATGTGTACGTAACAATTCAAATTCTGCCTACTGGTGCTATGCCTCATGATTCGGGGCAAGCTTTTGCTTAGTGACATAAGAGATGCCTTACAACAATACACTGTTTTCAATGGATAAGAAGGGCACAAAGAACCAGTCTATTTCAGAGATGGTCGCTATACAAAAGCTTGCCCCAAATCACGAGTTATAGCGAATCTGGGAATTCAAATTGTTATATTTATATGCAGACAACTCAGTGTACCAGATTTTATTCCAATCTAAATCTATTGGGCACTTTTGTATAACATTCACAAAGTGCAATAGAAGTCTCTGTATTGTTTGTTCACTGTTTCTCAGTGCTATAGCTGTGTAATTAATTTGGCTGTGGGGAAGTGTGATAAAGTGATATCCAAAATCTGGATTCTGTTTTTTGCTATCAACCTGGGAGAATCAAATGGGCACCTCCCTCCCTTATTGAATGGAGGGATATCTGGATTACAGTGACAGTTAGCAGAACCTGCTGTTGGTTAACTCCTTTATTGGATATTTAGAGGAAGACAAAAGCTTTAGCTTAGTAGTTTACAATGCCTTAATAGTCAAAGTCACTTTTCTTCAAAGAAAGGGTCATACACTCTGCTTCCCGTGTTTCCATCTCAGTGCGGCCTCATACAAGAAGTTCATTAAGCTCATTATAAACTACATCAACATGTTAGCGTTGGATATTCATTATTACCTGAGAACTTGCAAGATAAACTTGTCCTGTGTGAACCTCATACCTTGGTCTTCCTGCTTGCTAGTCAGCTTGTGATTTTTTGTAAAGTCTTTCAGACAACGCTGATCTAATGCTTATCAAATTAGGTTGTTGAAGGGAAAATAATCCAACTTCAATTTCCACGATCTCATCAATTTTATCAAGCTTAAGTACTCTTATTCTCTTTCATGCTTTGCCATTTGCATAGATCTCAACAGAATATTATGGATTGATTTTTTTCTTGCGCTTCTTGTGAAGACCCTCAGACTCAGAGCACTTTTTATTAATTTGTCCTGTCTGTGGCCCACTTGCAGTCCAGTTAATTCAACAACAGTGTCTCAGCGCTAATTGCCAAATTTCCGTGTATTTTGGATTGTAGACAGTGAGGGATCAAGTCATCGATTCTCTTGTGACATGATTTCCTGTGCAGTTTGTTAGTTGATGAAAAAAGAGGAAGGATTTCCGCCTTACTCTTACAATGCAAAAGCTCATTCAGTACAATAAACACAGGTAGAGTTTTGCAAAAACTCACCAACTCTGGAATGATGGCCTTGTGTTTGCATAAACAGTGTAATAACTAAAGTGACAGATTGCTTAGATCAGTTTTTAATACCACTTAGAAAGCCATTCAGCAAGTGGTTGATGTTACATAAACAGTCTTGACAATCACTTAAGGGGTGTTATGGGTTAGGAAATGCCCTCTTTGGCCTGGGGCATATGTTGAGAGAGTCTGTTCTTAGTCATATCTAAAAATCCACAGAATACATCTATTATTTTGTTCAAAAAGACTTGAGCCTAAGAAAACAAACCTAGAAGAAATAATTTAAGTCAGGAATGCGTTTGTTCATTCCTGCCAACACACAACTGGGCTGGATCAGATAATAATTAATCTTTTCCACTGCCCCTAATCCTTACGTTTTGGGTACATTGAAAGTAATTTTGAAATCTTGAATCAATTTCTTTTCCTCTCAAATGTTGACAAGTGGTGAAATCCATCTCCCACCATATGAGCCTCATCTTTTACATGTACCGCATAAACTATGTTCACGTACAACACAATCAAGACTTCTTCACTGAGTGGTTTCAATTGAGGTAATAAAGGAATTTAAGGGAGTGAGGGGTTTAGCTTGATGTGGACAATGTAACAAGACCAGGACTTGTGTTTGATTTGTGGTTTTTGATGTACATGTACCCCATGACTTTTCAAAAACCATTCTCAAGGATAAACTGCACCATTACAGACCACACATGAGGTAGGCCTGGTCAGTCAACTAATGTACATACATTATCCTACCGCTTCATATATATCTCTCCCTGTAACTGCTTTACTGAAGATGATGCAGTTTTTTGATCAGGTGTTTGGGTAGAGGGATGACTTGATGTGTGCCCTCCCCCAAACAGAGATGTATACATGTACTTGTAAACAAGCATGACCATTTCATTGCCAATGGTCTTTTTTGAACCCTTCTACCATGGGTGCGTATCGTAAGTCCGACGCCTCAAAAGTCTGTATTTTCGAACTCATGTATGAGGCGTCAGAATAATGAGGCGTCAGATTTATGGGTGTTTTTTTTTTTCAGCATCATGGTTTTTTTTTTTAAGCCTCATAGTTCTGATGCTTCAAAGGTCCGATGCCTTTTAAATCAGACGTTGAACAGATGAGGTGTTGGACTTAATATCAGGTGTCAGTACGATTGACTATGAAACATGGAGGAGTGCAGGCCCGTGCGATGCATCACCCACGAGCGAGATTCAACTTTGTTCCCAACTCATGCCCACGGTACTGACCCTGTAAGGAAAACCAAATCAAGCAGACTACCTGCCTAGTTTGTACACTGGTCCGGTATTTGTTTGATCCAAAATACCACTACGTGTAAGAATGATGTATGATACTTCGCTAAATGAAAAAAATTATTTTTTTTTTCGCCTGTATTACTTTTGAAATCTTAAAAATGTTTGTATGTGTCATAAATAGTCACCATACTTGACACCAGGAACCAGTCTTGTTCCTTGTGCCGTCGTCATACGCTTGTAATAAATGTCAAATCAAACGTCGGACTTTCAAGGCGTTGGATTTTTTGAGGTGTTGGATCTATGCCACGGGCCGAAAAAAAAAGTTGGAACTTTTAAACGCATTTATTGGACTTATGAGGCGTTGGACCTATGAGGCGTCGGACTTATGAGGTGTCAGACTTGACGAGCCATCGGAATTTTGAGGCACCGGACTTACGAGCTGACCTCTCTACCATAGCTGAGCAGGGAAGTTAGGGGCTTTTGTACAGTTTCTGTATCATCAAAATGTAAGCGATGTCTTGTGGTCATTTTGACACCAATTTTGTGAAAAATAAAAGCAGCCTACCTTTCTCAAAAATAATGGGGCCTAACATATATTTTTCCACTCAGGTCTGAAAAAAAAAACACCAACTGTTTTATTAAAAAAAAAGACAGCTGGGCTATTTCACTTTGACCCTGGCCATAGAGGTAGTCATTACTCCCCACTGGATAATCAGTCTGACCAGTTGATACAAATCATTCTTTGCCTGGTAAATGAGAGCAGGTCTGATGAGTGATGCGACACATTTGTCCAACTGGTTCTGGTCTAGGTACATATGTACATGTATGTACCTGTTTATTGTGCAGCATAATGGCTGATTTCATACAGGATGATCTACTGCACCAAGCATCTAGTCAGTTGTTTGTTTCTGCAAGAAAAATTCCAGGCTTTAAACCTTAGCCTAGGCAGCCATGGAATTTTATTACACTGTACAGAGTAAATGCTCACTGACTGTGAAGCCAAACTGATATCAGTGGCCAAGCTGATCACCAAGGAGCTGAAATCGTTGCCCAACTGTTTACAGAGGAGAATGTGGCAAATTTCTATTTCATACATGTATGTCTTTTCTTTATGTTTGATTTCTCCTGTTGTGTTCAGACAAAAAGGTTGACCTGGGGGTTTGTACTGTACCTTGTGGATTCTAGCTTATTTTCTTGGTGACTCAAATGTCATGACCCTTCAGTTTAGTCATGTCCTCAGGTATTTTATGCCACATTTAATTAAAGGTAATTTGTGATACTAGATGAGCTCATTACGAGGTCAGTTACTAGCCTTACATAGAAAACACAGTCCTCAGCCTTGATTCTGAAATTTTCAAGCGTTGTAAATTCATAAGCAATCCTAACATAGTATGGTATACATTTCTGTGAACTTACAATATGGAGTCTGCCTGATTGTCCTCAGCTGCAACATGCTGCTATCGGTATGATTGAATTCAGCATATTTACAATTTAGGTTCCCTTGTGAATTAGAAGGATTTACTGTTGTACATGTAAGGGCTAACATCACCGAAAATTAGATTACTTGAAGCCTAAGGGCTGCAACAAACAACAAATTAATGTGTACTTACATGTACATGTACATATACCCAACATTTGGTGTCAGAAATGATTAACTCTTCGTTTATAGCACTTCATAAATAAATAAAATTTGATGCAGGTAAATTGGAAGTTGATCAAGTTCTGGAAGTGAAAGTTTTTTTATGATATGAAAGTGGAAATTTGCCTTTATTTCAGCTAAAATTTTCAATTGTGTGTCACAAATTTTCACAAACAATTGATGTAATTTTCCACTTTGCAAATTGTTTGCACACCCTGTGTCCTGGAATACATGTACATGTACATACTGCAGGTATCTTAGTCACAGAGTTTTCCATTATTTACTACACAACAGGCCAGGGTACATGTACCCCTGGGCATATGTGGTGTTGTCTTGTAGAAAAGGAGAGATTGCTACAGGCCTAGATCTTGGTCTGTATAGTCTTAACAATGTAGAATGACCATTGGTGTCTGTTGTGATTGTAAATTAACACTACCCAGTGCCAGCTTTAAGTGAAAGCCAAGCCATTGTGTTTGGCCTAAGATCTGACAATTAGATTAAATCAGTCAATTCAGAGGCAGTTAATGGTAGGCCTTGAAGTTTTTTTTATCACTGTTGTTGTTTAATTAAGGTCTCAAGTAAAGTAAACCTGCCAAGTGTCTTATTTCTAATAAGATACTTGTGGCCAACACCTTTAATATGGTATGGCCAACTTGAACTACAGTACCTGTACATGTAGAGCTCTTGACTAAGTCTGACACAGAAACGTGGTTCTACTTTATTGGCAAAGTGACAGAATGAACAGTTGTTTTTTCAAAGGTTTGCTGCTTACATGTTTGTAAGAGGGCAAGCTTGATTTTGTAGACTTGTTACAAGGCCATTTTATGTAGAGTGGAACCCTCATTTCTGGCATGCAGCTTTCAGAGGAAAATGTTTGCTCAGTCAATCATTGGATATTTAGCCATTGGCAGTAAGACCTCCTAAGTTACACATAAGATAAACTGACATAACTAGTTGGAAGGGACTGGCGGGAGAACGGTAGGGCCCATTCTGTATCTATCTTCGTGTTAGTTTTAACTAACCATGCAACAGGACTTACATGTATTTATACCTGTCTGTTCTTTCATGAATTAGCCCTTCGACTAAAACATGCATATGGGAATTCTTTTCTTGTTAGATTCTTTAAAGATCACAAATACTCAAAATAGTTTAATTAAGATTAAAGCTGGTACATGTAGGCCTACCGGTACATGTAATGTATTGTGACAGGTGTTAATGTGTGAAGCTGATTAAGAGATATACTAAAAGATAATTAAACCTGTAATTACCCTGGACATTGGATTGTGATGAGCTCGAAACTCGAACAAAACAATTTGGAGTCAATTTTCTTGTTCTGTAGAAAAGATATAGGGCATACTGGTCTGCATCAGTGTTGTTTACTGGATATGAAAGCATGACATAGCTGTGTACAAGTGTACATCTTACATGTAGATACATGTACATCTACATAAAATCTAGAACTAAATACATGTCCTGATGAGAGTAAATGTAGTTCCATCCCCCAGGGGAAATTGGCTGTTTGCTTTGATCATTGTGCACAAAATCACAAAGTTGGATTTGAGTTAATGTCTCCTTTTTTATTTTGCCATTATAAAAGGAAGATTTATGGGAAAATACTTTGGTTGACTTTAGTTTAGTTTGCTGAGTATCAGATGTTGCAGGTTAGGTATTTGCATCATTTCATTCTTCTCTGCTCTGGTTATCACACTGTATTGATGATTGAAATGAGTGAGTGTCCACCTGCAGATACTTTACATCTTATTTTCAAGAAAGCCATTGAAGGACTCCACCCTCCCATTTTTCACATTTACAAGCAGATGTATTTTCATGACTTTTCTACTGGGCTAAATTTCTAGCATTTCAAAAAACCTTAAGAAATTTTCTATGGTTGTTTTCTTTTTGCCTATCAAGCATTGATCAGATTGTGTTGTTAATGTATGTTCTTTTACGCATGTATACTGAAATACATGTACTCCTTCTTGCCACTCATGAAAACCTTCCACTCTTAACAAGCAGTTTACATGTACAGTACAGTACTAGGAGTACCCAGGGTCACTGTTTATCATCATGATAGTTTTGGTCATTTCTGCCCCCTTTCTTTCTTTGTATACTATAATCTTTCATAAAGAAGTCTTTATGCAGTCTGTCAAACTGATAGTCATTGTAATTAATCTGTCTTCAAATCAACTATTAGTATTACTCTACACATGACTTCATGCTGGTGACCATTTCTCACTGGTGACTGCATACACCATTCAGGTTTACTGTGATTCTAATGCATACACTTCTTCTGTGTATAGAAAGTGCACAGTGTATCACTGTTTGTGCCTTTCAAGATAAGAGTTCTGTCTTGACAAAAGGTTAAGCAGGTTGACTGATCTGGCAAGGAATGCAGTGTGATTTCAATCAGGTCAGTGTCCATGACTGGACAAATTGGAGTTATTGAGCCCTAGATGAGTGAAGGAGGAAAAATCTATGGAAGCACTCGAGTGAAATGAGATAATCCAGATTTTCTGGAGTTGAGCCACCAACAGCTTTTCAGTGGGTGTAGTGTGGCTGGATGGTTAAAATTCTTGGTTCAAACATTATGTCTTAGAGTATGGAATGCCAAAGAGGCAAAAACTTGGAGGCAACACATCGATCGTTCTACAACATCGACTGATCGTTCCCCTACATGGATCGTTCTCTTTTGATCGATGAACAAAGATCGATCGATCAAGATATTTTAAATTCAGAAGGGAATAGTGTGTTCATCAGTGTTAAGGAAGTGCATAGCTAGATGAGTAGGTCAATGAATGACAGAATATTTCCACTGGTTCAGCCGGTTCTGCCGGTTTCGCCAGGCTGTTATCAGTGTGGAAAATAAAATTTGTATCCACCTGGAGTAAATATGTCTGCCCACAGTGGCTAGGGAGCGACCCATAATGAACTGGGGAAAATAGAAAAAATTCTCAGTGGTTTCATGACAAGGAAACTAGATATAAACACCCATCTGACAACTCAATTGGCTCGGGACCAGACTTACCGGTACTGAACACGGGTGGCCTTGTGTGCTGGTACATGGGCTATGGTTACAGGGAACACGTGTTATTTGGTGCTGGAAGAGGATACGTAATGTTGGCATCGATGTACCTTCATCGGTCTTTCTTCATCGGTCTTTCTTCATCGGTCTTTTCATCGCTCTTTTTTCATCGCTCTTTCTTCATCGATCAAAAGAGATTGATCGATCAATGTAGGGAACGATCGATCGATGTACAGTGTAGAAGAATGATCGATCCATGCAGAAGAACGCTCGATCGATGTAGGGGAACGATCGATCGATGTAGGGGAATGATCGATCAATGCAGGGGAACGATCGATGTTGAAGAAAGATCAATGTGTTGCCTCCAAGTTTTTGCCTCTTTGGCGTTCCATATTGGAGGGTCAGCTATATATATAAGTGGGCAGTGTAACTGTAACATTGAGTGAATTAAACTACCGGTAACAGGGATATTTTTGTTTGAAGAAATGCTAATGAGGAACTAAATAGTTTTGGGGAGTTTGCCCCGGCACTAGAAAAGTTCTAAATAAACACATGTCTATAAAAATTAAAATTTCCTATAGTCATTTTAAAATACTGTCATCTATGAGTGAACTGTGAACCTCAAAGTCCTCGCCTCTATTTTTAAAAAGAATTGACATCTTTCACTTCTGTCATAGGATACCATCTATTTTGCTCTTGATTTCTGAATGTTATTCCTACATGAAGTTGTTATACATATCCAAAAGTGGAAGGAATAAATTTTTACAAATCTATTGAAAGGTTTTTTTTTCTGAATTGCCATTTCAACAGATGGCAAGTAGACTAGGGAAAATTAAGTTGACACCAAAGTCCCTAAATATAGCAATGCAAATCTCAAGTTAGTGAAAAGAGTTTCCTGTCATGTTGGCAATTGGATATACATGTACTCCATTAATCTAGCGCAGATATTTACCTGACACTCAGACACCCTTAGCCTGAACACTTAACCTTCTGATTGCTGTTTATTTTAACTGGCGCCCTTGGCATAATATTGCCAGTCCACTGACCCATGGTGATCCTTTGTAAAGGCTGTGTTTTGATTCCATTAAAGAAAATCTGACAAACATGCTTTTATCTAGTGCTGTAGGTGCTAGGGACAAGTGTTTTAATGCCTCAACAGGAGCTGGGAGAAATGCAACATTAATACACAGTGTAACGGTATTTGGAGTTGTTCTTTCCTACAGATGTACATGTATTTCTACTCTCTCCAAAAATGTACCTACATGTACATGAATGCAACACCTTGACTTGAAGGTTTAATGTTCCATTTGATTTACAATAGTTTCACGAACATAAGCTCAACCTCTGTGAGTAATAAACAAACATGTTGGATTCTGCAACTCCCAGGAAAAACTCTCAGGAAAAATATAATGCATGTACATTGGGGAAATTCTATTTTATCAATTTTTTGAATACTGTGTATATTAAAGCCACAGGAGACCTGGAAAGAGAAATGAAAAGATTAGAGCTAGTATTTAACTGATGTTTTTGTGTTTTTGTTTCAGGTTGGTAAGTCCTCAAGATCAAGGCCACCTAACATGGAGGAGGCAACAAGGCAGATGGCAATGCTATGATTGATGTTGGTCCAAGGTGTTGACAATGTACATGTACAGTGCATTTTCCTTTTGTAGCCCTGACCATGTAGATGGATTTTGGAGTTCTCAGCATTCTGTCATCTTACATCCCAGCCCTCATTCCATAGGACACCTCAACAGAAGTAATAAGCAATCACATACCAGAAACTGATTGTGAACAATCTTTGAGTCAACACACCCTCAGTGGTCAAAACTTGTCTACCAGTGGTGTGAATTTGGGGGATGGGTTTTTTTTTTGTTTCTGGAGGGGATGACTTGCCCAGCTATGGACATTTGAAAAGGGGAGGGGGACTGACACTATTTAGGGTTGATGTTCAAGATACAGAAGTACATCTGGCATATTTATGGCTCTTTTGTTTTCCTTTTTGATTGATATGGAGTACATTTTAGTCATGAGGAAGTCCGAAAAATTCGTCACAATCCACTTTAAGTTTTTGCTTACTACAAAAAAGTAGGGGAATACCAATCCCCACCCCAACAAATGTGTGTGGGGGATATATACCCCATCCCCCTTCATTTTATGAATTCTGCCGGTACCATGCACTATCACTCAAAGATGAGAAGTTTATCCACACTTAAAAACAGACATCTTTGTGCCATTTGAGTGTTGAATGACCTTGTAAATACAGGTAGGCTATATTGTGCCACGTGATACACTGTTCATGTACTTTACCTCAAAGATTTTGCATACAAAATATTCAAATGCAATTGTAAATTGAAAAATGTGTCAGAATGTTTTGATTGTGCTCAGTGCAAGTGCAGACCTTGACAGATTTTGCTCTGTGTAAAATGGGGCAAAATTTGGAAAGTTTCCAAAGGTGCTTTAGAATTTAGTTGATTTTCATTGTTTCATTTTATAAAAACCTATCAATGAAAATAAGCACCACATGTAACCATTCAAATTTATTTTCATTTCCTTCCTTCCATGCCCTTCTACTTGATAATCATTCATGTAACAATGATGAGATGGCTCTTATATCTTGACAGTGGCATGGAACTTACTATTTGTTTTGTTAACTATAAGTTATTTCATTCAAGATTACAAGGGCAATCACTGTGGTAGTTTTGAACAATTTTGAAGTACTGTATTGTTTTTTCTTTACTGCCACATGAAATAAAACACATGAAATTAATGTCCTTTTTCTGCCTTCACTTATTTCCCATAATATTTTAACTGAAAAAAAATAACCTATAAGAAATTGTACACAACCGTGACAAAAATATTGTTGACCAGTCTGCAGCATTGCCTGTACATTCTTAGTCCAGTTCAAACCTATTCATTAACCACAAATTCTGGTACTCCCATTACTATGAATATTCTTGTAGTCTGCATTCAACATGTTGGGCAGAGGAGTGCACAAAATGTTTTAAATTAGTGCTGCAAGCAGGTGCCAAGGTTCGGTTCGGGTTCGGTTTGGACACGGTTCGGAAATTTTTTGCCGAACTTCAGTTTGGTTTGGGTCATGTACACATGTTTTCATGCATGTACATGTACAATGCACATTGAGACATCGAAGAGCTCGCTACGAATGTGCCGTCCATTCATGTAGTACTTCCATGCATGTATGAGATATGTTTATACAAGCAATGAATCTCCTCTCCATCCCAATCCACAAGCAACTTCGATGCGAACATAATTTTTTTTCCAAACTGTTTCGCCAAAGTTTGTTAAGGAGTTAAAATTCCCTAGAAAGTTACTGTCGGAGGTTCGACAGTTTCTGACCGTGTTTTACAGACCCAGAGCGGTTGTGTTTGGACCACGCTTGACTCAACAAGACGATCGTAGGACATGTGAAAACAGAAGAAAAAAAGTATGCTTAAATGGGTGTTTCCTCCTTTACAGGATACAAGATGAAATTAGATTTCCAGCGAATTGTGTTTTAGTTATTTTTCATGAAATAGATTCAACTACCAAACTATGGTTTTCGATGTATTCGAAGAACCTTCAGCCTTCTTTCCTAGGACAGCACCCATGTGGCCAAAGGGGCGATTTTCCATCAGTTTATTTCGAATGGAATGTAAGGGAGTGGCTATCGGAGATTGGCAAACATAATGCTAAATCTGAATATACATGTACATAAGCACAACTGCATGTAGTGAGAATTTAGAACTGATGTGCAGCAGTAATGCTGTGCATGTATGGTGCATGTTCTTGGCTCATTATTAGTGAATTCTGACTACGTGCTTCTTACAACCATCACGTGATGCGGGGCCACTGTGAGTACATGTACATTTACAGTACATGTGTACATGTACATGCACATGTGCTGAACACTGGTGCAACATAACTTGTTATCCATTTTTTGTTGTGTTTGCTTTTTTATCAAGTTTTCTTGCATGCGTTCTGTGCACTAGCCATGCCTACCAAAGTAAAGCCGAACATCCGAACCCACCAGTTTGGTTCAGTTCAGTTCAGTTTGAAAGTGCCATGTTCGATGATTTTGGGTTCGGTTCGGCTGTAGCACTACTTTAATTGGTCCATTCACAAATGAAATTCTATGGTACATGACTTCTTCATAGTTTTGGTTAAGAAACATTTATGAATGTTCTTGCCTCATGTGAGTCCTTGAGTCAAATCATTGAAAGCGCTTGTGAGTTTCTTGACTTTATCCTCCATGACTTGCTTCTGAGTCTCCATCTCAGAAAGGAGAAGGCGCATCTCATTCTCAACCTCAAGTACCTGAGAAAAGGACCATTTAAGAAATTATGCCAATCGCTGACAAAAATACCAGTTGCTTCAAGATTAATCAGTGTTGGAGGTCTGAGGCCGATATTTGAAAGCCTTGGCCTTGCTTCGTAATGACTCGGTCTTGGAAGCGTGCTCAACTTTTTTCTTTTATTACGTGTTTAAAAAACATTATGTTCATTCAGGATTTTTTGGCAATTGTGCAACTATTTGTGAACTTCCAACTTACAATGAAAGTAACTTATCAATGAAACATACTCGGTTATTTTTCTTAGACGAAATAAGTAGGGATATTGTCATGTCATGAACCAGTACATGTATAGCAGTTTTTTTGTTAATCTAGATGAATTGTGTGTCCCAGCCAACAGTGCCAAAAGTATTTTGGAGAAAATCTATCACATAGATAGTTATGTTCTATGTGTGTACTAAACTGGCCTTGGCCTTGAATGGCAGTAACTCAGTCTTGGCCTTGGAGACTCAAGACTCAGTCTAGTCCTCAAACATTGTGGACTTGACTCCAACACTGGTAATAATGCACCTGGGACAATAAGCAGGGGTGAGACTGACCAATGACAAAACAGCTGAAAAAGGCATAAAGAAGCTGAACTGTGAAAATCTCCTATTTGTGCACAGCTAGTGAAGAAAAAAAGCTGAAATCAAGAACAAAAAAGCTATAATTAGCTAAAAAGCTGAGAAATCTCACCCCTGAATAAGTAAAATACTCACTCTCTGGTTGCCTTTGTCTATCTCTTTGCTTTTTTCTATCCTCATCTCTTCCATCTCCCCCTCATGATGTCTCCTGACTGCTTCTAGTTGCTTAGTGAATGCATCATCAGCTTGATGTAACCTCTCAAGAGCGGACCTATTAAGGAAGAGTGGAGGACACCAGAAAAAGGAAGAAATTAAACGATCCAGGAAATGACTTTTTCTTAGAATCCGTATCTCTGTACTCTTCTTCCATGTACGAAGACTGTTTGACATCTTTTTTGACTTACGTGAACTGAATGGTGTACTTTTTCAAATGTTAAAAATTGACCGAGCATTTCTGGACAAGTGAGGGTGCTTTTGCTTTGATGTAAATCCAGGAAGACATGGTTCAGGTTGCATGTTTTCAGGTTCAAATTGTGAACCCCAAACTTGCTATCTGGGAACATTTCTGAGAAAAGGATTTTGCTGGATTATTGCCATATACTAACACAGCAATAAATTGCCAAAGAAAATGAAATCTGCCATAAAGGTGGTTAGAAATCTCGAATTTTTCTGAGCACAAGTCAGTGCAACATTGAGATTCAGTGCCTTGGATGACATCATAGTTCTACTCATGAATATGCAAATTGCATAAGCATAAAAACGAAAAAGGCATCAAAATATGGGTTAAAACTGCAAAACAAAAATTTGAAATGAGCTTAATTGAAACCCAAAGATGTAATTTCAAGGGATTTAGTAAAATTTCTAAAAATATTTCTGTCCCCTGGTTCCTTTGCGACAAACATATCGCCATCAACAATTGGAATTAATTTGCAGGGGAAAATACATGGGATCAACGTTATAAAGATTTTTTCCATGTGAACATGTTAACAAAATTGAAAGGAAGTGCCAAGTCCAATCCTTCCATTTTGCCCCAAAACAAGACAAGACTATGGCTGTGTCTGCAATGAGCTTTCAGAGCTAAGCTATGTCCATTGACAGCAGACCTAGACCTAGCTCTATGCAACAAATTTGGATGCAGCCCTAGAGAGGGCAGATGAGAACAATTTTCCTTTTCTATGCTGGCTGAGTTGTTTATCATGAAATGTCACTCTGAAACTATGTAGCTGTCATAGCAAAAACACAAGGTATTATAATACATGTAGTTGTAATTTGAATTATAAAATGAATCGTGCAGTAAAATGTGCTGATTCATGTCAACACTTTTATTAAGGACAAGTTACAGGTATTTACAAAAAAATCAAATGATGGCATAAAGACAACTGAAGCAGGGTTTGAATCTACAGGGCAAAGGAACACTGTATAGATGCTCTGTCAATTGAGGGTTAATGTTTTACATTTATTACACGGCCAACTGTTCTTATTGAAATTTTGTTTACTTTTGTTCTATAAGTCACTGCTTCATTTTAAAATGAAGACAGATGTCGCAAAGTGATGACACCTCAGCAAGTTTGTTCCACAGTCAAAGACTCTTGGGATATACGTAGATTTATAAGTTATGTCAGAATCCAAAAGGATTGGCAAGGTGACAAGGACCATAGTTGCTCCCATGAGCAATTAAACTGCTTCCTTGTGTAGGATTATGTCTGGATAGGACCAACAGGTGAACATGAGTTTCTTGAAATTAGGGTAAACCAAGAAGGCTCCCTAGTTTCCTTCCAAAGTAAATTTTGCTCTACTGAGTAAGACTCACTTTTCTGCTTGGATGGCTTTATCCCTTTCCTCTTTCATTTTGAACTCTTTACTGTCAAAGTTCTGCTTGACCTGTCGTACTTGTGTCTCCAGTTGACCAATCAAATCTCCCTTTTCCTTCCATTTGTTGTCCAGAGATCTATCAAAGTTAAAATATAAGACAAAACAACTTGCTAGAGTGAAATTGGAATGAACTGATACAAGACTACTTCCTGTAGTAAGGAAATGGGAAGTTAGCATTATGGTTAAAAGGTCAACATTACATTAAATGTAAAAAAAAAAGAAAAATGCTTTTTCAGTAGTAGTCCAGCAGGATTTTGTTATAAAACGTAAATGACTGCACTAGATAAAGCAATTGGTAATATTTGGGGGAGAAATTTAACACTACTTGATGTAACAATCATGGGCATTTCAGTGGCACAGTACATGTGCTCTTATACCAGGTTTTGCCCTTACATAGGCGTATACATCCACACTGTATTCTTAGTATGGTTCCAATGTTGCGAAAAAAATCATATGCTTGCTTGGATAGGATTTGAACCCACAACTGTCTGCTTACTCGTGCAGATGTCAAGATGTCAATTTGTCAAGTTCAAGTGGCTATACTTGAGCCCTGATGCAACGCCAAATTCATTTCATTGACTAGAACAGTGTTATTTCTGCAGCAAAAATGTCTGTAAATAAGATGGTGGTTATTGAAACGCACAATTGCCTCTCTATGGCTAGATGGCAGACATCTCGACAATTGTTTGAGGTTGGTATTAACACCAAAATATCACAAGGTTAAGAGGGAAAAAACATATGAAGTTAAAGCTTGTTAACAAAATGCCCTCATAGCAAACAGCGTGACCAAGCAGAAAATTTGCATTGGACGCTGCATCCTTTATAAGGATCGACCCTTAAGGGATCTGGATATACAGAAGTGCCCTTGGCAGTAAAAAAATGCAAATTATGACAGATACAGTCGAACATGAACAACACAAGCACGTTTGAGACGAGACCGTGCATAAGACGAGCATATTTCTTCAGTCCTGTTCAGAATGTACACATTCCTATGAGAGAAAACGTACTTAAAACGAGCTGTGCTAAGATAAGAACACGGACAAGCGGAGCACTTTTGCTCAACCGGCAGTGTCAAAAACCATTGTCCATGGCATTTTTCATACCAGTACAATTGAAAAGCGTCTTCAAAAGCTTAATCCCAGTAATTCATTTCTGATGGAGCGCGTCAGTAGTTCTCCAAAAAGGCTAATCCGCTCAGCAATTTGCACTGCAGTTTTGCCAACAATGACTTGGCGACTTTGTTCCTTGCTGCTAGAGGGGGCTTCATTCTATCAAAGGAGTTTTGATCACAGCGGGTCTGGTCCGAAAGAGGTGAACAATTATGGGTGAACCTGACTCGAAAATATATCCCTCCCGCCAATAACAAACCACGTTGGGTACGGGCAAAACCGTTATATATATAATTAACATCTCCCCAAGGCAAAAATACATCTTGAAATAACAAACCAACGGAAATTCCCCAATTTCAATGCCCTACTACGTCCGGTCCTTATATAAACTGGTTCTCAAGTTAATTAAACATGTAAAGTCGGGCAAAGGAGTGCTTTGCCTGGCCACGCCGCGTGTGTGCATTCGGTGCAGGGCGGCGGCCATTGTTGCGTCCAGCAAGTAGGCGTATTCCAAATCATTGTTTTATTCATTCAAATTGTATTTATTAATATGATTTGAATTTATTAACAAGATCAAGGCTGTACATCGAATACTAATCCACTGCATATACTGTATCATATGGTACATGTAGGCCTGCAGTACATGTACATTGCCGTAGTGTAGAAGTGTATAACAATGCTTGCTGGTGCATGACGCCAGGCTTGCGCTTTATGTATGGGATAAGTGTGAACACGTATAACACGAGGTTTACCGCAAGAAGAAGTTTTTTGGAGAGTCCCTTTGAGCTTGTATTAAGCGTGTTCGACTGTAATACAGGTTGTTAACATTCTTTTGAACATTAGACTTATGTACATGTACGCTGGATCGCAGTGTACATGCAATGTGCTTGTCATATGGGTGGCTTCACCAACACTATTGTTAATTCCTGCACAACGTGAATAATGTTCAGGATGTGAGGGTCTCACATGGTCTATCTCAAAGGTATAAATTTAAAATTTGCCAGGTTCTTGAGGGTAAATCTAACCACACTACACCTTACACTAACTTTCCCCATTTCCACTACCTACCTAAATTTTGTTTCCTGTTTGTCTCAGTTACTCCCTACACAAATCAACGCCTCTCTAGTTCAACCACTGAAGAAACGCTCCTGTGAGATTGACTTTCTGCCTGTAATTGATCATGAGCTTAGTATGGCCCACTGATTCTTCCTGTCTGTCCGTGTTCTTCCCAAAACCGAAAATTCCTTGTGCAGTCCCCCTACGTAGCAAAAAATCCTCTTGCAAGAATTAAATTCTGCTCGTACTCCAGCTAAATGGCCCTTCAGTTTTTCTTGTTTGTCCCTGTAACTGCTTTAGCAGTTCCTTCTTTAATTTATGTACCTACCTGTATGCCTTCCTGCTTTCTTCAAGTTCTGCCTCTAGCTCAGCTACACGGTTCTTCAGTTCTTCTTTACGTTCCCTGAGTCTCTCTACCTCCTCCGTAGTTTCTTGGTTGATAGCTTGCTCACCTGCTAGCTGTTCCTCGAGATGTCTCTGATGATGAAGTAATTCTTCTCTAGCTTTCTTTATCTCATCATCCCTTTCAACAAGCCCCTGAGTAAAATAATTTCACATATTTGTAAGGTTAGACCTGTATTCTGAAGTTTTACTTAGAACCAATATGCCCATTATGATTTCTGCACTTAATGTCTTGAATCCAGTCAAAGGGTTTTCCTTTTATTTATCAATTTTAATGCAGACTAAGTCATTACGATCAAACTGAACAAACTTACTGAATTCCTCATCATTGAGCACTGGAGACGTCCACCATTGATGTTATCCACTGTAAACTTCACTTTTTAACTTTTGAATAACTGAAAACTACTCAAATATTCATGAATATTTGTTTTATCATCCCTTCCAACATACCGGATGTTGTCCTTAAAAAGTTCCGCTGTATTTTTGCCACTTACCTCTTTAAGCTTCCTGATGGTATCTGTCTGATCATCAAGCATCTTGGTTTTAATCTTCAAGGCATCATTATCCCTCTCGGAGTGCTTCTTCAAGGAGTCAACTTCTGCTGACAAGGCTTCAATACGAGCCTCCAGTCTCCCTCGGTCCTGGGCTAGAGATGATCCTACAGAAAATTCTCAAGTTACTGCATTTGCATTAATTTGCTTTATGTAGCTCATGTATAAGAAATCCCATGTACATGTACCAAATTTGTCAAATGACCCAATATCACACAGGAGTTCTTCATGGAAGACTCCTTACAGGAGAGACACAACAGTATAAATGGCAGCAGCACACATACATGAAAGCCGATTATGAATTTCTATCTGAAGAACAGTGTATGGTATAGTTGTATGGACAGCACCACTTGTTCAAAGTGAAACCCTTATAAATTGTCCAACATAAAAGCCAAGGTACATGTATCTCTAACATTATTTTCTTGAAAACAAATCACTGCTTGTGCTAAAATAAATAGCTAATAAATGCAAGATTCCAACACAAATCTTAAAATGCATGACTTTGCAAGACAAAAATTAGGGCTTTCCATAACCGATTCCTGCAATACACCAGCCAGTCAACACACAAAAATGAAAGATGAATGTAGTGTGCCTTCAACATGCCCCTCATATTCCTTTCCGTCCATCAATCTGCACATCACATTTACATGCATTTGGAATGCAAACTGGACTGTACAGAGACTGCACTGCTTATATAGCCAAATATTCAACACTTTATGTGTCACACATCGGTAAAGAATTCAGTAATTTTCCTCAGCTTTTTATGAAAAAGATTAAGGGACCCCAATGGAAATAAGCCTGTGTAATTGGCTTTCTTGGGTTATCCCAGAATGAATCAACCGTTTCTTGTCTTCTTTTTTTTTTTTTTAATATATATATATATAGAGAGAGAGAGTTGTTACTAAGTTGATTGATTTACAGGAGCTATGAAACACATTCAACTTTCAATGTGACCTCAAATGACCTTGTAGAAGCACAATTAGTATTTAATGTGACCTCAACTGAACTTGGTGGAGCTAATTCAACTCTTAATGTGACCCCAAGTGACCTTTCTGAAGCTCAAACAACTTTTAATAAGACCTCACTGACCTTGTTGAACCATAACTAGGTTTATCATGAGCTCAACTGACCTTGTTGAAGCACACTTGGTTTTTAATGTGACCTCAACTGATCTTGTTGAAGATCAAATCAATTTTTAAAGTGACCACAACTGACCTTGTTGAGCCAGTTCCTGACCCCACAGTTTCCTCTCTACTCTCAGACCTTCAATGACTGACTCTTGAGCCACTAACTGGGATTTCACTTGACTATTCTCTTGTCGAAGGGCTTCATATTGAAGCTGCTTTCTTCTGGCTTCCTCCAGCTGAGATTCTAGATTCTGGACACGTTCCTGCAGGAAAATGTAAAGTTACACATGCTAAGATAATATATAGTAATAATGAAATTAATACACTAACAAGGGAAGTGTTTTGAGGTGTAATGATGGCTGTGATAACACTTTTGTCAGCAAAATCAAGTTTTATGAAGAGCCAGTGGTCCAAATGCGTTTTAAAGGGTCCCCGATGACCTTAGTGGAAAAACTGTTAATTGTTTAAAATATATACGAGTATGCCAATAACAGGACAGGGGATGTAAAAATGGAATAAAATTCCCTTTGTTGTGGTTAAGTTTACTTACATCTAACAAAAATGTATTAATCCTGATAAATGATGGTGCTGTGCATGACGTACATTTGAGAACCCACAATTATATTCAGGCACCCTTTTGTTTTGTTAAACAAAAAGGAACATGACACTGGACATGCACAATTTATGTGCCCGAGAAATGTTCAAATGTAAAATACATACACGAGTACGATACCCATGCGCGCTTTGTAAAGAGTGTGTGCACATGTGGTACGGCTGTTGTGTGTGCAATTGCATATGTTGGTGTGACGACGTACAGTGGGACACCACGACCCATACACACGAGTATATCGAGTGGAATAGTCTGGGTCGATTGGAAGCATTTCTTACCCTTTGACTTTGTCTACGGGCTTTCTTTGATTTCTCAAAGATTGTGGGCTTAATCTCTGACTTCATCAATTGTTTAAAATTAATCCCTAACAAGTCATACATGTACGTGTTGGAAGAAAACATTGTGGATAGAAAGGCACACTATCCAGTTTTGAGCCCTCTGCCGCTTCTGAGCGTTTAGCTCTGGTGAGCCTGACTGTCGATGTCCAGATTCGTCTCACTTTGCTTCGGTTAGAAAGTTATACATGTACATGTGTAAATGCAGGTTTGGCCCATCTTTACAGGTGATGCTGCAGCCTCTGCAACACATCTGGTTATCTCTACAACACCTAAAAATACCTAAAAATTGGACTGGTTTTTTATTGGACTGACCTAAGACAAGCATTGAAGCACTCGCGGCGCGATGATGTCTTCTGAAATGTACGTACATGTATGTTAATGAGATACCTCTTGGGGGTGGGCTGTTTCTCCAAATTTTTTTCCCTTCCATTTATTATTCAAAACAACAACATTCACATTCTGGATACTGTTTAACCCCTTCGCATCGGGACGCGGATAGAGCCGCCATAAAATTTGAGATCCTCAGCCCGCTTTTCAGCTATTATTCTCTGCCCATGCTCAAGCGAACACGGTGAAAGAAGGCAGACCCTGGCTCTTGTATATGGTAATTGGTCTTTGTGCGTAGCCCAGAAATGAAAAGACCGAATTTGCATCATAATCACCAGCTTTACAAAAGTCCCCACTTTGAAAAGAGGCAACGGGAATGTGGAAGCTTGAGTAGAGCCGCATGCCACCGAACAATCAGCCTTTTCACCGTGTAATTCAAAGCGTGCAGAGCAAAAAGGGGCCACAAACTGAGAATCTGCAGTTTGGCAGGTGGCCTTCATGGCCAAGCGAGGCTGGAATTCTTGGCGTCGGCTTTCGGGAAGAAATTCCTGTCGTCAAAGGGTTAATAATATACAATTTTCAATCATAACTAATAAAAACCACTTTTCATGGACCCTTTAAGTAATATGATTTCATGTATTCCGCCCATGTTTAGTGGAATCCGCACCTTGGGTATATTTCCAAGAACTGAAGATCAGTTTCCTAGTAACATAAATATAAATGCATTCCATTGGTCAGCATATTAAAATGTCAACATATAAGCAATGAAACTTGCTAGGACACGTAAGACTTAAATGTAGGATAACATACCCTGTATGCTGTCAATGCCTCCTGTTTAGATTTAAACAGCTCAGAAATCCGTCCTTTCTGCTCCTTCACCATCTGGATGCAGGGAAAGTATTAAATCTACTAGATTAGTGCAAAATATCACACTAGCATACAGTGGATTTGAACCAGTATATTGTACTTGCTGTACCACCAAGCCTACCATGGTTGACTAGCTGGATCAGAACGTGCAACACTGTACTTGCTGCAACATAATGCCTACCATAGTTGACTAGCTGGATCAGAACCTGCGACACTACTTGCTGCAACATAATGCCTACCAGGGTTGACTGGCTGGATCAGAACCTGCAACACTGTACTTGCTGCAACATAATGCCTACCAGGGTTGACTA